CCCCCCCCAACAAATAAACAAAAACCAAGGAAGCAAACTAACAGAAACTAATATTAAAGCAAGTAAAAGACCAATAAGAACCCCTGTCCCCAAAAGCCAAAACAAAGCAAATGAGACAAAAAGTACACACACACACATACACACACACACGAAAACAAAAACAAACCAAATGAGTTTCCTTAGACATGGAGCCTGTCCTGGGATGTGGTTGATATCCCAGCGACATTCCTTTAGAGAAAACTGATTCATTTTCCTTGAGTGACAGTGTTTTAAAAGCTGGATAGTAAAGATGGACCTAGGTTTCTTCAGCACATTCCTCTTGCACTTTCACCTAGTCACTTAATATATGCTTGTCTTAAAAATGGTTGAGGTACGTGGGGTTTTTCCTAGAATATGGTACTTAAATTTTTTAATAGTAGTTGATAAGGTACAAAGCAGAGAAATTAATTTATAAAATTTACTGTAGCAAGTTTCAGATTTCTTTTGAATTCAGCAATAATAGTGTTAAGTACTGAAGAAAACAGTAAAATTTGTGTAATCAGTCATTATTTTCACAGATATTTCAAATATGCCAGACACGACCTTAGAGATGTCTCTCTCAGGGAGTCGACTACAGAGGGCAGTACAGAGGTACAGTTAACAAATAAAGAGAGGAGCTGAGAACACGGAAAGTGCTGACACACAAGCCTGAGGACCTGAGAACCCACAGAGAGCTGGGCGAAGTGCATGTGCCTGTACCTTATTGATGGGGAACGGGAGCAGAGACAGGAGTCTCTGAAGCTGTTAGCCAGCTCACTTAGCCAGACCAACAAGCTCTAGATTCAGGGTGGAAAAGAATCGTGTATTATCTTCAGGTAGCTTCTTTGGTTTTTTTTTTTTTAACTTAAAAATCATTTGTTGTTGTTTGTATTATACATTTACAATCAAAAAATATTTTCCAGGTGGATGTGGTGGCACATGCCTGTAATCCTAGCACTTGGGAAATGAAGGCAAGAGGTATTAAATAAAGGTCATTCTTGCTAGAACTGACTGGGCTACATGAAACCCTATTTGAAACAAACCAAACAGAAAAAAATTGTTGTCTCAATACTGAGGAAGTGGAAATAGCAGAGTTACCAGTTCAAAGCAAGTCTGGTCTATATAATGAATTAGAGGCTAGCCTGGGCTCCATAGCAAGACTATGTCTTAAAACCTTAGAAAAACCAAAATGACTTCGTTATCCATTGGTAAGACCACCTATGGTGGATATGCCTGTCATCTCAACATTCAAGTCATTCACAGTAGCAGATGGATGAGCCGAACTTGGCTATATTATGATGTTCAGACCAGTGTGATCGAGATAGTAAGACCCTTTTGCAGCAGTAATAAAATAATAATAATTAACAGTAATAGTAACAGCGGCAGCATCTTCTTTGTACATAAAATATAAAAGTAGCTCTTTAAAGAGAAAGTAAGATTTATGCAGATTAGTGGGAAATGATAACCTGTAAAGCAGATTATAACAAACTTTAAATCATGAAAGTTAAGTTTGACAAACCAGGAAAGGATAATAATGTTTCAAAGAAGTTACTGTTGAATCTTTCTGGTGGTGACTGCTTTCAGAAAATGTTAAATTCTTGGCTATGGATGATCTTAGAAAACTTTATTAAATGTCTAACTTCCTAAGATAAACTTAATATCTAATTTTCTAGGTTAACTTACTTCTATAAAATATTTTGCTACAAACACCCACCCAACCAACAAACTATTTGTAGTTGATACCTGCTGGGAAAGGAAAAACCAGTTTTCTCCAATGAAATGTCATTAGATACATCAACCACACTCCAGGGCAGGCCTCATGCCCCAGAGTAGTTGGCCAACACAAATGGACTCCCGTGCTTTTTGTTCTCTCTGTCTCTGTCTCTCTGTTTCTGTCTGTCTGTCTGTCTGTCTGTCTGTCTGTCTGTCTCTCTCTCTCTCTCTCTCTCTCTGTGTATGCACCTTTTGTTTGGTATTTTTATCTTCCAGTTTTTCTATTTTGTTTTTTTGTTTTATGATCTTTGCAGAGAGAGAACATGAAGTTGGGTAGATGGTGAGATTGAGTATCTGCAAGGAGTTGGGAGAGGAGAAACAATATGATCAAAATATATTGTATGTAAAAAAGTTTTTAAGTTAAAAATAATTTAAATATTTGGCTAACATTTATAACATTAAGAAACATACTCAAATTATATATTAAAACTGTGTTAATGGAATTTTAAAAGTGATACTTTTTTTTCTTTATTTCTTTATTCCTGCTATCTTGTAAGATTTATTTATTCAAGCTTTACGGCACAATAGCTGAACACTTACTAGTCTATTTTAATCCTCTAAGCTAATATGGCTACTTCTCAGCCAAAATTGTGGAGATACTTGCATTTTAGTTTTTCTCTGGCTCTCTGTTCCAGGTATGTTCCTATGATGTCACCTGCATGCTCTTCTCTTGGCAAATCCTCCCCCCCATCTCTTTCCCTCCCTCCTCCCCTCCCTCCTTCTCCCTCTCTCCCTCATTCCCTCCATTCCCCCCCCACCCCTCTCCTCTGGCTGGGGTCAGAAGTCCAACCCCATTCTGCTCTCTATTCAGATTCTGGCTGATGACCTTTTTTTGGCAAGCTAGAGATTAAATGAGGACCAATGTTTATACAACATTGAAGCCGAAGATATTAGACTAAGCGTTAGAATGCCATGTCCAGCCAGACACTGGGGCAGAGAAATCCGCATTTGAATAATACAAGGATACTCTTCACTCAGTGTACGATAACATTATGCCTATAAAACTGTTCATATCTTAGTATTAAGAATTTCTTAATTTTAATATATTAAAAACAAGGATGGCTTTTATTTTATACTATTTTCCCTAAAGAAATTTTTATTTATATTTAGAGACAGACAGAGTCTTGCTGTATAGTCCAGGCTGGCCTCTAACTCATCATCCTCCTTTCTCAGCACCCAAAGTGCTAGCCTTAAAGGTGTGGCAGCACACTCAGCCTGCTTGTAAACTTTCAGAAATGTACTTTAAGAAGTAAGTTATAAAAGACTTGATATTTCACTTTATTCAAACCCCAGTGTAAAGTTATATGACAGTTTTCCAAAGAGTTTGTTATATATTAAATAGCTAATTGTAAAATTTCCAAATTGTTGTTTTCTGTGTTAATGCTATATGTTTCTTTCTCTTCTTTTTGAATTGAACAGATATGGTCCACAGGTCTCCATGAGTCAGTTTGGCTGGAGACTGCGAACACTCAATAATGAGCGGTGCAGCTTTAGGACTTGAGATTGTTTTTGTCTTTTTTCTGGCATTGTTCCTCCTGCATCGATATGGAGACTTTAAGAAACAGCATCGACTTGTAATCATCGGAACACTGCTTGCTTGGTATCTCTGCTTTCTTATTGTCTTCATACTGCCACTGGATGTTAGTACGGTAAGAGGCGAAATTGAGATACAATTTAAAAGACAGTTGTAGTCATACAATCTGGAATATGTTTTGAATATTGCTTTCTTAAAGTGACTAAATTATAGATGTTATCCTTACATTTTGTATTTAAATGCTGTTTTAAGAATTTAGCTGTTAAACAGTATAGCCAGGAAAATAGGTAGACTATGAAATATCCTTTAAGTACTTGGTGAATTCTTGGTTCTCATTATAAAACCTTGTGTTCATTCTTTAGACAATATATAACCGATGTAGGCATGCTGCTGCAAATTCCAGCCCTCCTGAAAATAACAATGTTACGGGAGTGTATGCATCTGTCACTCCAGCTCCAAGGTATTTCTTTGTTTCTACTTTCCTGTTCTATATAAACATTGCAATAATGCAGTTGATATTTTCACCACTTTTATTTTATATTCATAAAGTTTCCCTTATTCCTTATTATTTATCCTTTCATTCATTATAGTATAGTTATTATATTCCATTGTTAATAATACACTTTAAATATACATCAGTACACAATATAGTACTTAATGAGAAACTTAAAGAAGGCAGTTTTAGTTTGTTTCTACATCTTACAAAAATCTAAAACATCTTATTCTTCTCAAACTGTCTTTTTAAAAAAGAGTCATGAACATTTTCATCTTTCAGCACCATGAATACATCTATAAAGAAAGAACATTTCCATTTCATCCAAATTATAAGAGTTAACAGAAGTAGAGTTTGGCATGGTGCTATACACTTGTAATCTCAGCACATCAAAAGTTCAAGGCTAGCCTCACCTACATGAGAAGTTTACAACTAGCCTGGGAGAGACCTTGTTTTTAAAATCCCCAAACAAAAACTAAAGCAAGATTATTATGAATATAGGGTATTTCTCTCGTATTATACATTCTTAAGAAACATCATAGGGACTTGAGAGGTGACTCAGCAATTAGGAACACTTGCTGTTCTTGCAGAGAACCCGAGTTCAATTCCCAGCATCCATCTCAGGCAGTTTACAACTGACACAACCTCTGGCTTCTGCAGGCACCCGAGAATGCACCGCGCGCGCACACACACACACTCAGAAAGAGAGAGGGAGAGGGAAAAGGAGAGGGAGGAAGGGTGAGAGAGAGAAAGAGAGAGATAGTTAAACACAATGTTTAAAAGAAACATAATTTCACATGAGGAATAAGCGATTTCCAAATGTTATATTGAATTCCTATTAAATTTCCATATAAGAAACTTATTCATGTTGACAGGAAGCTTGTGTTAGTGCTTTGAGTAGTATTTATGTGCTTCTTCATATAGTTTCAGAGGAAACTCTAGGGCCTGGTGAGATGACTGAGTAAATAGAGTACGTGGCTAATAATCATAAGGACCTGAGTTTGGTTGTCAGAGTCCACATAAAAAGGCTGAACATGGTGTAACCATGTTCATGTACATGGTGAACCAGTGTAGCCAAATTGATGAGCTTCTGCCAATCAGAAGACTCTCTCAAGGGTGGAATAGTGTTCCTGAGGATGACACCCAAGGCTGGCCTCTGACCTTCTCGCACACATGTACTTTCACACACATGAACATGCACATGCACGTGCAAAAAACATCTGACTTGAGTAAAGGTCAAGTGCTCATCTTTGAATCACTAAAATGTTCATCACCTTTCAAAGCTATATATACACCAGTAAGAGTTTGAGTATTTAGAAGTCCTTGAATTAAAAGAATAGTCTCATAGACTAGAAAACTTTAAAATAGAAGTTGTCATCAGAGACTTTTCATTAAAAAATCTGAACAGAATTGTGTGTAGATGCTGGTGCTAACTGCTGATGAGAGTGTCTAATTTAACTAGCATCAGCAATGATAACTTTTTCTTTTATTGAATTCCTGTTCAATTCCCATTCCAACCTTCACTCCTATCTAACAATAAAAGACAAAGTATAGCGAGCCCTACAAATGGATGAGTATAATTTTAAGTATAATTGTTAAGTATTTGATTCCATACATCCATTTTTTAAAAAGATTTTCATATTAACAGTCAGTTAATTAAATACTATGTCTTCCTTTCATTAAATACCTAAGAATACATTGGGAATTGGAAGTGTAAATGACATTCCTTTTTAGAGTGAGTGGTTTTGTTCCTTTCGTGTATGGTGTTTGGTTTGGCAGCTTTGATTTTTAAATTTTCTGTGAGATATGATTTAATCAGTAATTATTAATTGATGCATACAAACTCACAAATTTGTTTATACTTTCATTTAAGAAGTTGGTATTTATAATCAATTGACTTTAAATTGTTATTGAATAGACAGCCTCCGTGTTTCAAGCCATGGAGTTACATCCCAGATGGAATCATGCCAATTTTCTGGAGGGTAGTTTATTGGACATCTCAGTTTTTAACATGGTAAGTGGCAGTGAAGGCTGCATTATTGGCTAAAGGATTAATTTTTTTTTTAAAGGATTAATTTTTAATGAACCTTAATACTTTGAGATGTAGTATCCCATTTTTACAAGAAGAAAGGAAAGAGGGGGGGAAAGCACACAAAAATAGAAAACAAAAATGAAGATTTTTCTTGTGACTGTTTCCTTACTTGCTGTCTTTCTTGTCTGACCTTCAGTCTGGTCCTCATTCAGCTTTGTTACTCATGAAAGTGCTTTTATGAAGGAACCACTCTTCCTTGTTTCCTTTCTTCATTTTTTGTAAAAAGTGTTATATTGAAATAGAATTATATAACTTCTCTTGTTTTTCTGCCTCCAGCCTATGCCAAATGCCCTCCTTCATACCCATCCCATACACCCCCACTCTCAAGTTGATAGCCTCTACTTACTTGACTATTACTGTTCCGTACAGAGAATCAGTTTTTGTTCTTAGTGTACATATGGATTCAGGGCTGCCCATTCTGCATTGAACAACCAGTAAGGTTGCTCATCCCTGGAAGAGGCTAACTCTCCCTCTCCCAGCAGTCATTAGTGACCTTCTTAGCCTAGAGCAAGAACCTGTGGTTCTCAACCTGTGGGTCGGGACAAACAACCTTTTCATAGGGGCACAGATCATATGTCCTGAAGAGCAGATATTTATATTATGATTCATTACAGTAGCAAAATTGCAGTTATGAAGTAACAATGGAAATAATTTTATGATTAGGGGTCATCAAAACATGAGGAACTGCATTAAATGGTTATAGCATTAGGAAGGTTGAGAACCACTGCTCTAGAGGTAGGACCCTACAAAATTTTCTCCTTTCTATGTTAATGTGTCTGTTAATATTGTCATTGTTCCAGTTTTATTTATGCAGCTATTTCTAGGAGAGACTGTTTCTTCACAGACTTGCTGATATTCTGCCTCTTAAAATCTCTCCTCTTCCACAGTGGCCCCGAGACACAGATGTAAGCCCTGGGATGTACTGTGTCGGGGCTGTGCTCCCAACAGTCTCTCCATCTGCATTGTGCCCTCTTGTGTTTTCTGGGATGGTCTCCAGTTACTGTAAAGAGAGGCATGGTAGCCACATTGACCTGTGGCTATAAGATTTAGAATATAGTAAGGAGCTATGCTGGTTTAGCAACAGGGCAGAAGTAGATTCTTCTCGAATGTGTATGTCCTCACCAGTCCTAGGGAGCTGGATAGGTTTTCAGTTCCTCCCTGTGTGGACCTTAAGTTCATTTAGACAATTGCTAGTTCCCATCAACAAATGTGAGTGCCGTTTTCTACACTAGTAGAGATATCTCATCATGCTGGTTATTGTTGTGGTTCATAGGCGTTTGTTGTAGCTGAGTAGGACTATTAAATTGCTTCCCTCTCTTGTCAGCTTGTGTGAATTTTCTCGAGGATTCTAGACTGAAGGAAAGAAGTTTCCAGGCTGTATCCAGCTCAGATAATCAAGTCTTATTCCCTATATGTGTAGGGTCTGTAGTAATGGAGGTCCAGCCTCCAGCCCTGCCTGCTTATTCATACATTCTCATTTCATTCATACATTCATCATTTCATGGATGTTTCCCTGATTTCTGTGACCCAGTTCCTAATGTTGCTCTTCCCTTGATCCCTGTGTCCTGTCATCTTGCCTGCCTGTGTGTGAGATACCATCAGTTACAATTGTGGCTTTAATAACCAGGACTGTACTCCAAGTCTGTTTTCTACCCATCGAGCTTTGTCTTCCTTCTGTGCTCTAGACTCCAGTTACCCTCTGCCTTCTGATCCTTCCTTAGATACTCTGCAGGACACTAAGCTATCAAACTGAATATAGCAAACACTGCAAGAGGAAGATTACAAAACGAAATAGAATAGTGTCTTTGGAAGTTTATTCTAAATAATCTCACCCATATCCTCAAAATTGCCAGATTTTCATTTTTTTATTTGTCTTTCTCTTCACTTTCTAAACTTAAGTCTGATGTGACCCTTTTCTAGTCCTTCTAAAATACCACCTTTATTCTTGGCATATGACTTACTGTGCTGCACAGAAGTTGTCACGTGGCAACTATATCTTATCAACACAAATATCTATTTATCAGTCCTTTCTCCTTGCCCTCCAGGGATGGAAGATTCATTCTTATTATGCTACCCCCACTTTCTAAAATAGGAACCTATCTCCTTAAGCTTTTGTTACTAACTTACAGCTTTCTGTTTTGACAACATAATTTCCTCATCATATAAAACAGTACCCCTATGCACATAAATGAATCTCTCGCATACAAGTATATTATTTAAAATGTCTCTCTTAGCTCAAATTCTTTTCCAGTCTCAACCTCACTAATATTATTATGACCATTGTTTTAGAAGACTTTAAAAAAAAGACTGAAGTTGAAATCTTACAAAAAATTTGCACTTACTGTGTTAAGTTCATTCTTGAAGTGGATGAGTCCATATACCAGTACTCAATGATGCAGGCCACTTACAACACCCCTGGAGTTCTCCTCATGTTCTTCTCTAGACATTCCTTATCCTAAAGAGTAACCACAATTTATACTTCCATCACTATAGATTGATTTGTTGTGTTTAGAAATCTATAAACAAAGACTTACACAGCATGCTTTCCCCCATGCCCTTTGTTCATATACACTTGGGAGATTTATCTACACAGTTTTGTACATATCATTGTTCTGGTACTCTTATTCATTTCTTGGAGGCATCTGCTTTATGCATATACCATAGTTTATAATACACCTCTTAAGTACACGTTCTCCATTTGCTCAGTTAATGTATTCCTTCCTCAGTCAGCAGTACCCTTCAGTACACTCCTGCATCTACTCACATATGCAAATCCTTTACATGCCTGACCTCTTGACAGCATTTAGTTTATGGTTTTCTCTCCTCCACTTTCAAATACTTTCCTCTTGTTCTTTTCCTCTTGTCATATACTCCTTGGTTTTCCTCCATGCCTCTTTACTGCTCTGTCTTAGTCTTCTTCACTGGTTCCTCCTCCTCTTTCTCAGGTCAGTCTAAGTTTCTTTCTCTTTGTACTTGATGCACTTGCTTCACCAGGTCTAATCTGCAGATGTTATTTTATTGCTGTTAACATCCTGATAGCTCCAAAATCTGTCTCTCCAGTCTTCTGAACTCAAACTTGTATGACAACTACCCTGTGTTCTTGTTGCTGTTTTGTATTGTCTCTTATATACTTTCAGTCATTAGCTTGACAGTCAGTCTTCTTTTTTGTCTTAGTCAGCACTTTATTGCTGTGAAGATATACCATGATCACAGCTACTTTTATGGGAGAAAGCATTTAATTAGGGCTGTCTTACAGTTTCTGAGGCTTAGTCCATTTTCATAGTGAGGAGTGTGGCAGCAGGTAGGCAGACATGGTGCTGGAGAAGTAGTCGAGAGTTCTACATCTTGATGCACATGTGACAGGAAGGGAGTAAGCCACTGAGCCTGGCTTGGGCTTTTGAAACCTCAAAGCCCACCACCCCTGGTGACACATTTCCTCCAACAAGACCACACCCGCTCCAAGAAGGCCACACCTCTTAATCCTTTTAAACAGTGTCACTCCCTTCTGACAAAATATTAAAGTATATGAGCCTATTGGGGACATTCTTATTCAAACTACCACACTTGTCCTGCTCTCACCTGGACCACTACCTTTAACCTTCCCAACTACTTGCATTTTTGTTTGCTTTCAATTAGTTTTCTATGCTGAAGTCTTAGGAAACCAGACATTGGAAAGTGTTTTCTTCAGTGAAGGACACACACACATGATGTCCTGAGCCCTTAGCTGGCATTTGAAACTGAGGCAGGAAGAGTGTGAGTGTGCTCTTGCAATCCTTTGCTTAAAAAAAAAATCAATGTTTTCTTATTCTTATATAGTCCAAAGTGAGTCTAAAGGGATAATGTTGTTATTTATGTCTTTGTTTTTGAATCTAGGTCTATGTAGCCAAGGTTGCTTCTGTCTTCCGAGTACTAAGATTACAGTTGTACCACAACCCTGGCCTCTTATGCAGCTCTAAGGGCTATTTTTAGACCTTTTAGAGGATGTGAAGTCACTTACACTATTTGAGTCTGAGTGTCATTGCAGCCTCCTTTGCTGTCTCCTGCTTTAGGACCTCTGTTTTTTCCTAAAATTTAATATTAAAAATAATAATTTACCATAGTTCATTCAGTATTAACATAAACATGTACTTACTCATAAAACATTTGTTGGGGAGAATTATACATTGAGATTTGTATGTTTTGGGTATTTTAGATTCAACAGCCACACAATTGAGTTTTTGATCATGTATTTTTCATCCAACCAGGATTCTATTACCTTTTATGCAATCATATGCAAGATCTGGAGGTTTTTCCATCACTGGAAAGATAAAAACAGCCCTGATTGAGAATGCAATCTATTATGGAACTTACTTACTGATATTTGGAGCATTTCTAATTTACGTAGCTGTAAACCCACGTTTGCATTTAGAATGGTAAGAAAAGGAGTCTTTATAACACTGTTGTGTATGTTTGTACTATTTGAATTGACTTTTACTGAACACATGCAAGTAAGGAAACACATACACCACATTATATATGTCTCATAAATACCCTCAAAGGGTATCTGAATAATGCACTTTATTAAGAAAATCCAGGATGCCATCTTTAAATATAACTATTAGATGTTGGGCTAATGTTTTGACTAATAATGCTGTGATAAACAACAATGGTTTTTATAGAATTTTAAATTTTATAAATGGTTAAAAATGAATTTTCCCCCACTAGGACTTAAATTTTTTTCTTTTTCTTTATTTTAGTTTGGAGAATAGTTTTCCTAATGTTACTTTAAACTCAGGTATTTCAATGTTAAAATTCATCTTGTGTATATAGTTTCTAATATATATATATATTACTCTAAAGTGTCTGTGTAGAAGAGTAGGGCTAGGTCTCATTGTTGGTGTAGGTAAACCATAACACAAGTTAACTGTTTACAGGGCTCTCTTAGTTCATCTTGATTAAGGAAGGGAAAAATGTTTTCTGTGGAGGAAGCAGTGTTTCCCATATTGAAGTCTGTTTTTACTGTCACACTCTGTCTTTCCATTCAAACATACAGATTATCTGCTGGGCCTGGAAAGTGGTGTAAATTTCTTCATATAAAATCATACTTATTCTCTATGACAGTTTTCTGAAATTTTATTTACTACTAACTAGTCTTATATTTTTATATAAAAGCGTATTTATATCAGCTATCTGTTTATATTTTCTGTTTCTTAGGAACCAACTTCAGACTATTGGGATAGCTGCTGCCAACACATGGGGTCTGTTTCTCCTCGTGTTATTACTGGGGTATGGCTTGGTGGAAATTCCTCGGTCATACTGGAATGGAGCCAAAAGGGGCTATCTGCTTATGAAGACTTACTTTAAGGCAGCCAAACTGATGACAGAGAAAGCAGATGCAGAAGAGAATTTGGAGGATGTAATGGAGGTAAGCAAGTTTAATCCTACAAAAGCAGTTATCGTGGTTTATAACTCTTGCTCTGTTGACTGTTCTCTTGACTACAAATGTGCCATGTTCTGTCAGTGAATTTTGCTTCATTTTAATTTTTGTGGTAGATGTCTATTTTATGATAGTAAATGCTAAAATAGGCTATCATTTCTTTTATTCATTAATAACACCTAATTTGAAAAGTTGTTCAACATTTCTATGTTCTGATTCCTTGTGAGTTTTATTTTCTTGTTGGAGATCTCAAAACACGCATCTAAGTAGACTAGCACAGTGCAAACTCGTTTCTCAAGACTCAACTTTAATTCTTACAACTTTACAAAAGAGATTTTTTTAATTCCCATTTTATAATGAAGAAAATGAGGTATTGGGAGTTTAAATAACTTGCTTATGTATACACAGCTAATGAGGAGAGCCAGGGAGTTTAATTTTAGTTCACACTTTAACAGCAGCCATGACCCTTTTATATTTTTAAAATATGAAGATCCAGGTGGTAAATGTTTGAGACTTTGTTGTCATGTGGTCTCTGTTGTACAGGCTTGGTGATTGTGGGCTGAAGGCAACTCATGGCTCCACATAGGTGAATGAGAGCAAGCTTGTATGTCAGTCTGAGAACAGGTGAAGAATACTAGATTTGGTTTACTTTGATGACCCCCAATTCCTAATTGTTATCCTCTTGTCTGTCTCTGGACCTTTTATTCTCAACTCATTGCATTTTCTGATGTTAAGAAACAACATTCCTCAGGAAGCCTTTTACATGAGCAACATGGGGCTACTATAGTAAAAGTACCACAGACTGCGTGGCTCAAGCACCTGTATTGCCTCATAGATCTAGAGGCTCAAAATCTTAGAACAAAGCAACAAGGTATCTTCTGAGAGCCATAATGAAAATTTTTATATTTATTCAGTAGACATATCATTTGAAACTTCTGAAAAAAATAAGTTTTGAAGATTTATACTTGATAAAATATTCGCATTTGATGAAAGAAAGTAGTTTTTGTTAGTGTTATGCCCAAAAGTTGGCATTAAATTAAGTTGTTGCAGATTTAAAGAATTTAGATTTTGTCAGTTGATTTACTGTTTCTTCAACAAATGCATGTCAAATGTGTTGTTTTGGGGTCTTTTGTTTGCTTTCCCACAGTACTAGGGATTGAAGTGAGTTTATCATATACACCTGTTGGTTGCATACCAGTGTACTATACCCCCAGCCTCCCCCATCTCCCCCAACCCCTCTACCTGAGATAGTGATCAGTCTCTCAAAGGTACCTAGACTATGAACTCACTTTGTATTTGTGATCCACCTGCCTCAGCCTCCTGAGTAGTTGTGGGATTACATGCTTACCTTACTGGGCCAGCTCAGATGAACCAAGAGTGTCTGAATGATATAGATTTTCTGTCATTAGATAGGAACCCTTAGGAATAAGACATGAAAATTAAAGCCTGGCATTTATGCCTTGTGTGTTATTTCAGCATACTATTCATATGTTGAAAGTGGTAGGATTTAAATGTGTTTTATGAGAAAAAGTCATGTATAAAAAGGAAGGCATCCTTTCCCCTCTCCTGCCTTTCATTCCCTTCTCCTCACCTCCTTATTCCTTCCTATTCTTTTCCCTTCTCCTCCCTCTTCCATCCCTACCTCCTTTCTTCCCCTTTTTCCCTCTTTCTCCTCTCTCTCTCTCTCGGTGTTTCTCTCTGTTTTTATTTGAGTCAGGATCTTGCTATTTCCCTATATCGTCCAGTGTAAGATAACAGGCCTGTACCACCATGTCTGGTTGACAGAATTCTTGTTTAGTGGATTGTTTAAAAAAAATAACTGTCCTACATAGATAGCACAATGCTCATGACTGTATTAACTGTCTAGAGTAGAGGATCAAACATTCCCTTAGAGTGTATGATAAAAGTATGCTTGAAGTGCTTATTATGGAGAGGCTTCACAAAATCTAGAGAGAGATCAGAAAAATAAATTTGACTAGGGATTTGAAGAATTGCTAGAATGTTGATAGCTAACAAGATTCTAATCAAATACCAGTTTAGCAGCTAAAGCATTGGCCTCCCAAACAAGCTTTTAGATCCTCCCAAACTTTAAAAATTAACTGTTGAGTAAACCTTAAATTTATAACAGATATATAGCTAATATGAAAAGTTAATTGTTTCTGTTCATGCTTTTATTTAATGTAGCTAAGTAATTTCAAGAAAAACATAAATTTTATATATATGGTCAGATTATGTAGTTAATTTTTGAAGTAAATAAATGTGTGCCAATTACAAACTTTAAAGAAACTTATAAATGGAAAAATACAATGTAGTAGCATCCAAAGTAACCTTTTGAAAATCCAAGTGTGATCTGGATATCTTTGCACATAACGCTTGTAATCCCAGGTCTGTGAGGGAGATGATTTCAAACCAGACTGAGTTATGTAGCAAATTCAAGTCCATCTTGAGCTATATAATTTTTGTCACAAAAATTAAAAATAAAATAAGTCAAAAATCTAAAAATGAAAACGAAATCTAATCTTGCCAGTCATGCATCTAGGATGAACATAGCTCAGAATTAATTGCTAGTTAGATTTCTGGGAGGTTTTGGGAATGTTTCTCAGATCACATGGTAACCAGGAATTTATTGTCATTTTTTTCTCTGTAGTCACGCTGTTCTTTTTCTCTAATACAGTGTGTTCATTTCTGTCTGGAGACTTGTACTCACTGTCCTTGTCCCTCTTTGGAATAGTCTTGTTTTCCCTTTAGTTGACTGAGTCTTACTCATTTTGTTCTGTTTCACTTAAATGATCAGTTCATCAGAAAGATGCCTAAACTAAACTGTAGTCATCCAGAATGTCCTGTGCTTTGCTTTTATAGCATTTCTATATCTTTTTTGTTTAATTGTCTGTTTTCCTCTATAAACTGAGTCCCTTACAAGAACAGTGTTATTGGTATCAATTTTTCAGAGTATGCATTTATTTGATTTTCATGGTTACTGGAAAGTTACTCTCCAAACACATCACATTTTACTGTATATGATATTGGTTTTGCTACAATCTTACTTTATTACATAATATAAATGTTTTATAATTTTATAAAAAAATCTCATTTGGAATTTGCCATTTCTTGGGAGCTTCAATATTCTTCTACATATTTATAGGCCAGTTCTATTTTGAATTCTCATTTCTTTTTTCTGTTTGCTAACAAGAATGCTTCACATACTAAGATGACTCTGGTATATAAATTTTTTCATTATTTTCTTAGTATATCATAGTTTCTCTGCTTTTCATTCTCTATCACTTAAAGCTTTTCTCTAACACTACAAATGTTCTTTTAAAGTTCCTTTTGTTCTATTTTTACAGGGCCTTCTCTTCCTCTTCTTCTTCCTCTTCCTCCTCTTCTTCCTCCTTTTCTTCTTCCTCTTCCTCTTTCTCCTCCTCTTCCTGCTGCTGCTTATAGAACAGTGATTCCACCATTTTAATTCACAAAAATTGTAGGATATTGTGATTCCTAGGAAATACTAATTCCAATGACTCTGTTCCTAGCCCACTCTTTCCTCTTCCCTCTCCTTTCTCTGAGTGGTTTACTTGGTAATGATGTTTGTGCATATGTGTACACATCTGGATGCCCAAGCTGAGTATTGCATATTTTTTGTTGATTGATGTCAACCTTTATTTTTTGAGATAGGGTCTCTCTCTGAATGTGAAGCACATTGTTTCATCCAGCCTGGCTGGCCAGTGAGCTTCAGGGGTCCCCCTCTCTGCACTTCTGCAGTCCTAGGGTTACAAGAGAGCACCTCATTCCCTGGCTTTTTGCCTGGGTTCTGGGGAGATGAACTGAGATCTTCATGTTTATATGGCATTACCTTACCCACTGGGCTTTTTCCTCTATCTCTTTATGCCTTTTAATATTTATCAAAACACTTATCACCAGACCTTTTGTCAGTGAAATTGATTGACAATACTTTGTTGCATTGGTTACTATTTTCATTACTGTGATAAAATAATTGACAAAAACAGCTTACAGAAAGATGGGATTATTTGGGCTTATACTTTGAAGGGATCATGGCAACGAAGGTGTGGTTACAGGAGCTGGGTCTACTGTTGGGAGATGAAACAAGACTGTTGCTGCTCATCTTACATTCTCCTACGTATTCAGTCTAAGTTAATATGGGTTTTCCCACCTCCATTAATCTAATGTGGAAAGTCTATCATAGACATGCTCACAGATCTGTTTCCAAAGTCATTCCAGATCTTGTCAAGTTGACAATCAATGTAAGTCTACCCGTTGTCAACGCGATGCCAACCATATCACTCTTAAGCCATAACCGTCTACCTCTTATCCCCATGAGCTCATGGTCATCTCATAATGCAAAATGCACTAAGTCTAACTTTAAATATAGTCTTTATATTTAAATATAAGTACTTAATATATATAAAATAAATATATAAATGTTTATAGTCTTTAACGTTTTCAGCAGTGTTCAAAATGGAAAGTACAGAGTCTCGTCTGAGTCTTGAGCAATTTTTCAAATGTGAGTCCCTATACATCCTAAAAGAAGTGCATACTTCTAACATATGATGGTGTAGATTAAACAGTCACACCCCCAAAGGAAAGAATAGGGGCATAGTAAGGAAAGTTTATATTAAAGCAAGACCATAACCCTGGGAAAATGCTAAATCCTATAATTCTGTGTTAGGCATCTGGGGCTTGTAATAGAATTATCTGGGCCCCAAAGAGCTCTCTCCTCCAGCTCTGCCACTGGTAACACACTTAGTCTCTTGGATTTGTCTGGTATATGCCAGTGCTTGCCTTGGTAGACCTCCCGTGGTCCCAGCACAGCATCCTTGAGTTTCCATTTTAATTTAGCCTTCACCTTCACTGTTTCCTACAAGTGGCCCTGTAGGGCCTTCTTACAGGGGCTCTGACCCTGTTGGAGACTGCCTGTCCTCAGTAGCCTTCTGGAAGCTATGCACAAGCCTCTAGAGCCCTCTCACTTTTCCATCCTTCATGTCTATTAACCTTTATCATGTGGATGAAATAGCCATCTTCTGCTGCCAGGTCAAGATGAAACCCCGCCCTTTTGGATCATAGCTGCTATGGTTTCTGTCTGCATAGACTGTTCTTCTGGAGTAGGAAACCTCTTTAGTGACATTCATAGTTCAGACTCTGTTTTTAAATGAGTTTGCATTTTCACCGAATCTTCAGTGGAGGGTTTCTTGTTTTCAGATCTTCTTTGTAGTTCCTTTAACTTTATAGTTCACGTACTGATCTTCACCAAACCCAATCCATATCTTTTTAATCTCTCACTGTAGAGCTGAATAAAAACAATGAGCAATAGCCATGACATAACTTGAATGTTATGCTGTCTTGAAATTTCCACCATCAAAGGAATTATTCCACATGGATTCCCAGCAGCTGTGATCACATGTGTAAGGTCAAACTGGCCAGAATTCCAGCATGAATGGGAGAGGAGCCATCAAGTCACCCATAGCTGAGGTGTTATTTTGATAATTCATGGCCACAGGGATAAGGGGAGTCTGTTTTCTTCAAAGATACGGTTCCTGAGAGGCTACACACATACTCCCATAGGTATCCATATTTCCCTGTACATACAGAAAACACTAAGTGGACTCAGTGGATTTTAAAAAACTCAAACACCTTTGAAGTTAGGAGGAAAGAGTGGAAAGCATAAGGGAGGAATTAGTGTGAATGAGGGATGGATTTCACCAAACACATTATATGCACATGTGAAAGGAAGTTACATATGAAACCAAAGCCTTGCCTAAGTTCACATATATTGTGTTTACAATAAATAAATAAAATAATTAATTAAAGTAGTCCATTTCTTTTTAGTCTTGTCTAGCTTCTCAGGACATGGGCAGAATGGCCAGAATGAAGCAAGTATGGCTGCTGTCCCAGAGCCTGGTAGTGCCCTCCAAAGCCTCATGACACTCCCCATCTTTGTTTCTCTCTGAATTCTTGTCTCTGAATTCCCACTAGAATAGCCCATTAAGCTTTGCTTATAGCAATTCCAGGTCCTCTCTAGGCCATAGTTCCAAAGAGCTTTATCATGATAATGACCCCGCTTCTACTATGTTTCTCTATTAGTTACTTTTCTTGTTGGCATGATAAAATACCTGTGAAAACAGGTTAAGGAAGGAGGATTTATTCTGACTCACAATTTTGTCAGAGTATAGTGCATCACTGCAGAAAAGGTGTGTCGAGAGGAACACGAGACAACTTTTAAATTGTGTCCCCAATCAGCAAGCAGAGTGATAAATGGTTCATTCAGCTGGCTTTCTCCATTGAGTGTACACCACAATGCCAGCCCATGGAATGGCACAGCCTATATTTAGGGTGAGTCTTCCTACCTCAGTTAGCACACCATAGAGAATTCCTCACTGATATGCCCAGAGACTTGTTTCTAAGATGATTCTTGATGCAGAGGAATTGACAATAAATATGGATCTTCTCATTTAACGTGATACTCTCTTAGCCAGCATACTGCCAATAACTTTCTGTTATTTGGAAGCAGCGGGCACTTTGTAACAAGTTAAGTCTTTTCTGCTTCCTGTGCTGATTGATAATGGAAGTAACGGGACAATTGATTTTGATCATCAAGGTGGAATAATTTAATCCTGATCTTTTAAAAATATAAAGCTTCTAGTTTTTGAGATTATAGTATAGTTTACATCATTCATTCCTTCCCTCTCTTATTTCCAGTCACTCCCAGTTGTTCCTCCTTTCTCTCCTTCAAATCATGGCTTCTTTATTTTTTTATTGTTATTCTGTACATTTGTTGTGTATATGTGTGTAAACATGTTCTAAATACAGGCTGCTCAGTCTGTGTAATGTTATTTGTGTTTAGGTATTGGATAACCAATTGGTATGATCTTTTTTTCCTTGGAAGACTAATTTAGCCCATGCTCAGTCTTCCTTAGTTGCCTGTAGTTGTTTGTGAAGGGTTGAGGCCTCTTGGGCTTTCCCCATCCACATTAGCATACCTGCTATTGTTGTCCTTGGTCAGCTCATGTTTATGCAGACATGTTAGTGAGACTTTGTGGGTGTAGCCTGTGACAGCCCTAGGAGGCACAGCCTCACAGCAACTCCCTGATCCTCTGGCATGATCCTCTGGCTCTGACAGTGTTCTGGCCCTGACACTCCCCCCCCCCAATGATCCCTAAGCTTTAGTTGAGAGAATTGCATTGTAGATGTAGCACTTCAGACTGGGCTCTAAAACATTTGATTCATTGTGGTTTTCTGTTGCAAAGAGAAATTTCTTTGAGTAGGGTGGGGACTACACTTGGCTGTGGGTAAAAGGCAAGTGATTATCATGCCATGCTGCCTATTGTCATGGTTCATAAGCATCATAGCTGGCTTGGACAGTTGGTCACTTCCCTCCTTTGGGAGTTATCCTGCCATCTTCTGGTGCTACGAAAGCTAGTCCTCAAGGATGAAGCTTTCAAATCAGTTCCAGCTTAGGAGTTTTGGGCCCTATGTCTTAAATACAGTATCTTCAGCAATAGAGATTTTAAGGTAATAACAATAGACTAGTCCTGACCAACAACCCAAAAAGGGACTTCTTATACTCATGTTGAAGTTTTTGTTAGAATGTTATTTGGCTCTTGGAAGAAACATTGTCAGCCCAGATGGGAAAATTTAATTTAAACTATATATGTTTATTTATGCATGCTATACCCAAGTTGTAAGTACTCCAAAGACCACTGAGGCACCAATTTGTATGTTAGGGTCTTTATTATGAGCTCTAGAGCAAGGTCTCTCTGTCATCATCCCTGATGAAGTGGGTCAGAGTGAGAGCTCCAAGTTAAGGGGTGCAGGGTATTTATTGTAGTTACAGCAAACTTGAGGAAATTCCATATGGATCAACAAGTTAATATTCTAAAAACTGCATTTCTGGTGTACTCTGCAGGAGCTGAGCAGGGGGACAATAGTACTTGACACAGGATGACTGTTATCTGTTCTCTGCAGGATGTCTTAAGTTACTCATATGAACCTTGACCCTGTTATTAGAGCCAGACTGGCTGTTGCTAAGGGGGTTGGGGAGGGGGCAGTGTTGCCATAGGACTTGCTCGGGAGGACTATGATTTTCTTCCTGGAATTGAAGTTTAACCCCTGGTCTTGCACAAAATGGAGTTTCTTCAAAAATGGAGTTGGTTGGGCTTTACATACACATATGTATTATAAACTTTTGAACTGTTAAATAATGCTTAGCTACTGTGATATATGAAGTAAGCAAACGATGGAGGAATAAATTTAGAAATCCAGAGAATAATGAGAATATAAATACAGCTATTTGAATATTTTATAACTGTTCTTAATAAATTTTATTCCATGAAAAAGACTTCTTATAATGCTAAACAATTTGAGCTGAAATGAAAATCTGGTACTTAATATGAACTCTCATTTAAAATGTCTGATTTATAGAAATGTAAATCCTTTTATTTTGCTGTTTTTATAGGAGGTTCGTAAGGTAAATGAGAGTATCAAGTATAACCATCCATTGAGAAAATGTGTTGACACGATCCTGAAAAAGGTAATCAGAGTATGTTGTTTCCTCTCTTGTGAAGTAAATTTTTATATACTACTATAAATTAATATTTCATATAGGAAAGTATGATTAAAGCATATATGGTCAAAATTTTCCATATGGATTTTTATACAAATCTTTACCATAAACAAAGAGTAATTTATATAGAGGTGCTTTTTTTTTTTCTGTTGTAAGTTTAATAGTAATTATTGGCAGCATTTTACTTTGAAATGTGAAGCATCTGGATATTATTGGAGTACCCTGCAATAATTGCCATGGCATAGTGATGTAGGTACATCTTCACAATACCATTGTGTATTATCATTAAAAGCATATCTCCTGTAGGAAAATAATCTAGGGTATCAGTAATTGTTTTTAATTAATTAATTTGTTTACATCCCAAACGCTGCCCCCCCCTCCTGGTTCCTTCCTCAAATAGTCTGTTCCCCCAACCCCTCTCCCCCTCTCCTGAAAGGATGGCACTCCCCCACCCCCAACCCTACCCTGGCACATTATCAGGTCTCTGTTAGATTGGGTGCATCCTTTCCCACTGAGGCCAGACAGGGCAGCCATGAATACTTAACTGTCTGTCTGCTACGAATGTGTGGGAGGGCCTTGTTCCAGCCTGTGTATGTTCTTTGGTTGGTTGCTCAGATTCTGAGAGCTCCCCAGAGGTCCAGGTTTATTAACTCTGTTGGTCTGGTCTTCCTGTGAGTTTCCCATCTACTTCTGGGCTTTCAGTCCTTCCCCCAACTCTTCATAAGCGTCCCGACCTCTGTCTATGTTTGGCTGTGGGGTGTCTGCTTCAGTTTCAGTCCAGTCTGCTAGGTAGAGCCTCTCCAAGGATGGTTATGCTAGCCTTCTGTTTACAGGCATAACAGAGTATCATTAATAGTGTCAGGGATTGGTGCTTGCCCATGGGATGGGTTCAAGTTGGCCCAGTTATTCATTGCCCTTTCCTTAGGTCTCTGCTCCATCCCTGCATTTCTTTTAGACAGGACAAATTTTGGGTGGAAAGTTTTGTGAATGGGTTGGTGTCCCTATCCTTCCACTGAGGGAGGGTCCTGCCTGCCTACAGAAGGTGGACTCTTCAGGTTCCATGTCCCTACTGTTAGGCATCGAAAGTCACCTGTGTTGACTCCTGGGAGCCTCCCATGGCCCAGGTCTCTGGGGCTTCCTAGAAATTCTCCCCTCCTCCCACTGCAGGCAGCTGCAGATTTCTATTCATTCTCATGGCCCACTGGGCCTCTGTCCTGTCTCTTCCCCAACCTGATCCTGCCTTTGCCTTCTCCACCCCTCCCCCATCCACCAGTTCCCTCCCTCCCTCTGCCTCCTATGACTGTTTTGTTTCTCCTTCCAAGTGTGATTCAAGTATCCTTACTTGATAATTTCTTTGGGTTTGCGGGGTGTATCATGGTTATTCTGTATTTTATGGCAAATATCTACTTATTAGTGAGTACATACTATGCCTGACCTTTTAGGTCTGGGTTACCTCACTCAGGATGGTATTTTCTAGTTCCATCCATTTGCCTGCAAAATTCATGATGTCTTTGTTTTTAAATAACTCTATAGTATCCCATTGTGTAAATGAACCACATTTTCTGTATCCATTTTTTGGTTGAGGGAACTCTGAGTTGTTTCCAGTTTCATGCTATTATGAATAAAGCTGCTAAGAACATAGTGGAGCACATATCCCTTGGTCTCAGTAATTCTTGCATCTATCTTCTCACATGTAATCTCATGTAATATCTTATCTGTTATAAAATAAATTACATGAACCTTTAATAGTAAGCCATATTGTTATGATTTTGATGGAGCTGTCTTGAATTGCAGGTATATTTGTATGCCTCTAAAAGAATTATGTGAAAAGTTCCACAATTACTTTTTATGTACTGTCTTAGTTTGGGTTTTACTGCTGTGAACAGACACCATGACCAAGGGAACTCTTATAAAGATACCATTTAATTGGGGCTGGCTTACAGGTTCAGAGGTTCAGCCTTTTATCAAGGTAGGAGCATGGCAGCATCCAGGCAGGCATGGCGCAGGAGGAGCTGAGCGTTCTACATCTTCATTTGAAGGCTGCTAGCAGAATACTGGCTTCCAGGCAGCTAGGATGAGGGTATTAAAACCCACACCCACAGTGACACACCTACTCCAGCAAGACTGCATCTTCTAATAGTGACACTCCCTGGGCCAAGCATGTACAAACCATCACATGTACCCAAGTTACCAATGAAATTTGTCTTCTGTATTCTAAATCTGTCCTACTGGTTATTACAAGCTACTGTTTCTTTAGCTAAAGTCATGGTCATAAGAGTAAACTTTCTAAGCATTTCTCTCATATTTGCTGTTTTTTAGGCTTATTTAGGAAGGTTAATGAATTTGCAAAACTCTACATATGTAATAAGTAACTAGTCGTATGACAGATAATCCTAATTATATATCCCTTTTTGCTTACTGTGGCTTTCAGAACTTAAGCATTTATATTTTTCATGATTCTTCTCTATTATTTAGGAAAATAATTGAAGTATCATCAGGTGCCTATTATTAGAATAATCTTCCCAAATAGTTGTTACTTCGTGTAGGTAAGCTCCCTCCACGTTCCTAGTCTCAAGCTAGTATATCTGAGCATAAAGAAAAAGATTAGAAGTGAGAAGAAACTGAACATACCTATGAAATATTTTCTTGAAAATGTTAGCTAGTGAAAAAAAAAACCTAGCTAGTTAAAAATGTCAATAAAAGAAGAAAATTTAAAATGTATAGAATGAAAAATTTTTAATAAAAATAAATTTTTACATTATTAAAATTTCATAAAATGTTTTGTGTTTAGTGCCCTACAGATTATCAGGAAAAGATGGGTAGAAATATGGATGATTATGAAGATTTTGACGAAAAGCGTAATACCTACCCAAGTGAAAAAAGTTTGGTAAAATTGCACAAACAGGTAACTTTAGTTATTAATTTTAGCTGTTATGTATACAGTTAGAGAGTGTGAATTAGATCTATAACTGTTGCCCTTTATAAAAGGCTTTCTGCATGTTGGCTCAGTAGTTAAACTGCTTGCAACTCACGTTTGAGGAACTGAGCTCAGTCTCCAGCACTGTGTATAAAGCCAGGCAGTGTGGTATGCACCTGTGGTTCCAGTGATCAGGAGGAGGCAGAATGAGGGACCACTGGCTTGGGAGGTCGGCCAAATCTGTGAGAGCCAGGTTCAGTGAGAGACCTTGTGTCAAAATGGGGGAGGATGCCTGGAGACACCTGACAGGAACTGTGGTTTCCAGATGCCCACAACTACACATGCAGACACCCACCTCCCCAAACATGTGTGCATTGCCAGTGAAATGCATATCTAAAACTCTTGACCTCGTTCTTGTTATTGTTGAAATGTTTTAACGATGTGTTTCTGGATAGGGATACTCTTGGCAACTGGATATAAGAATTATATCTGTTCTGTAAATAGGAAGTATCTGTCATTTCAAAACATTAACATACTTGGTCACATTTAGAAAATCCATTAGTACTATTTTATTAAGACAAAGAAAAACTATTCTCTAGCAGAAAGTTAACCTACTGTTCAGGCATATTGACAAGCTTATTCCTCTTCTGTGTTCAAGGTGATTTATTCAGTTCAAAGGCACCGTCGGACTCAAGTGCAATGGCAGATTCTTTTGGAACAGGCATTCTATCTAGAAGATGTAGCAAAAAATGAAACTAGTGCAACTCACCAGTTCGTTCACACCTTTCAGTCACCTGAGCCAGAAAATCGATTTGTCCAATATTTTTATAATCCTACAGTTGGTATGTAATTTAACATAAACGTCAAAGTTAGTAATTTTTCTACAAGGAAAATGTATGTTTCATCAGTACAATGCTGACTTCTACTCGTTTATTAATTTGTTTCATAGGGTAATATTAGATAGCTGATAAACTTACCCTAAAATAATTCTTTTACTTGTAATTCTCATTCTCCCAGAAGTCACTGGTTGCCTGTAGTTCTTTGTCTAGGGCGGGGCCCCGTGAAGTTTTCCCTCTCCTAAGTTAATACCTCCGTTGATGCTGCCCTTGCTCCAGCCTTGTTTATACGGCAGTTAGGAAAGAGTTTCACCACGGACTTCCTGATGTGCTGCCTTTTACAGTCTTTCTGCTCTTCTCTTCCCTGAGACTCCTAAGCCATAGGTACAGGAGCTGTGAGATATTTAAAAAGTACAAAGAAAATATTTGATGACAAAACAGGTTACGTAAGATACATTTTATAATTTTTATGGAAGCTATTTGAAATATTCATTCTCACTAATGATCTCACCGTAAATGTGTATCATGGCTTTGACTCTTGATAGTATAAACCATATTAGTTAGCTAAACTTTAAAAACCTAAGCTTTCTGAATATTAACAGAAATTCCTACAAATTCACCAACAGTATGTAAAATATGTTCTCCATAATATTTGATAGCATTTCTCTCAACATGATTTTTTTTTAAAAATTTGAAATTTCTTAATATATTTATGCCTATGATTTTAAAATATGTATACATATATAAAATACAATTATAAACAATTTACATACATGATCAACCATGCTTAGAGACCAAAAATAAATAAATAAATAGTGAAAAGGAACAGAGATAAGGGTAATGGCTGTGGTAAGTTAGGGGTTTGGGGGCTTGAAGCATAGCTTATAACTGGGGAATCATATCATAGAGAGGAAAATGATTGAAGCAGTAGGGAACTTGAAGCAGTATTTGTGGGAAGTGGAGGTGAGATAGGAGATAGTGAACAGTGAAGAGAACAGCCTTACTTTAGGAGGTGAGGTAGACAGCATTAGTGTGAGAAAATGTAGCAGTCAAATAGTGGTAAGTTTTCTTCTGACTGCTTTACTCTCTTAGGAATGGACTGACAATAAATACAGAGGAGATTTTTCAAGAAGGCACAAAACAGTCACAATGGATATTGGAAGAAAATGGAGAATTATAGTAAGCTCTTTAGGCATGCTGAGGGTGTGTTTGAAGTTGGTGATAATTTAAGGTGAGAATAGTCAGCAAAGGTGTGTCTTTCTTCTGTAGTGTGCATGAATACAGACTCAGAGTAACCAAGGAGTTGGATCAAACAGTGTGGTTTAACCAAACAAGTACAGTGAGGCTAGAGAGGGTAAAGGAATTGGGACTGGAGAGTAGTTATCTTCAAAGTTTGTGGGATCTGAGCTGAGAAAAGAAGGAAAGATGGAAGGACATTAAAATTGTTCAATAATAGGAAAAAGGAAAAAGAAATAAACATTTGCTTGACCTGATAGCCAGTCAGTAAGGTTGAAGTACAGATGAAGGTACTGCTTGGGGACGAGGAAATGGGTTATATAGAAAAATTGCCACTGTTAGCAATAAAACTAAAGGGAGGACTAGAAGATGAACTCGTGAGAAGGGAGGAGATGAAGACAATGGGAGAAGAAAGAATTGTCTTTGTGATATTTAAATAGAGAGAAGAAAGAATTGTCCGTGTGATGTTTACATAGGAATTATATGGAGGCAGTGAGCCTGAATCACAGCTTTTCAGTAGATAAAGTGAAGCTGCATCCTTACTGCAAGCTGTGACTCAGTGGTAGATGATATCTTCAGCACACACTAACCTGGGTTCAGTCTCCAATGGGATGGATGGATGGACAGATGGGATTCAGACTTAATAAAACCACCAACTGTACACATATATCCAGGTTCTTCCTATGTCAACACTTTATTAATTTCCTTTTTCTTTCTCTACATATAGTTTTCCCTTAATCTTTCAGAGATTTTCATACATGAGGCCTTTTGATCCTTGGTGATTTCAGTCTATACTTTCTAAAAATTCAGCTACTCAAGTATAACTAGAAAATAATTAGAAAATTAACATTAATAATTTACTTTTACAATTTACTTTTACATATCTTATACATTATGTTATAGTTATACTTAGTTATGATAGGGATATTCTTTAGAAAAAGAAATAAAGCACACTGTATTTTGTCATATTTCATAGTGGTCTTATTACTTAGTCTTTTTAAATCAGACACAGGTTTTCAGTCCTATGTGTTTTATTCTCGGTGTATTTTATAACATTGATGTTTATGGACAGCTAGGTCTTTGCTGAATGTCCCCAACTTGGAGTTTGCTGTGTCCTCGTGATTAGCTGCATCTTACGCATTGTTTGCAGGAATGCCACAAAGGTGATGTCATGCTCTCCTATGCATCAGAGCAGGAAGCACATGGGTATCAGTTTCTACACTGGTGTTGATCTTTGCCTAGGGTCATGCCTGTTTTCCACTGGGAAGTTGTATTTTTCTCTGTATTGTCTGATTTGCTGCTACTTTGAAAGACTATAAATCCTTTATACTGAATTAGTTTTCCTAATTGTTTTTTTCTTGTATTTTCCAGAGTGGTACTGGGAATGCCTTTTGCGTCCATGGTTTCACAGGATACTTGCTGTGGTTTTGTCTATCTTCTCTGTGATTGTTGTGTGGTCAGAGTGTACCTTCTTTAGCACAACTCCTGTCTTATCCCTTTTTGCAGTATTCATACAGCTGGCAGAAAAGACATACAATTATATTTATATTGAGGTTAGTTTTTTTCATACCAGTCATAAATTATATTTATTTATGCACACACTTTAACTTCTGTATCTTTTCTCATGTTTCTGCTATTAGGAGTGAAAGGAGTAGTTTCCCATAGTGCTATTATGATGCTGCTTTCCAAAGCAGTGTATCAGTTCACGCAAACTATAAAATCTAAGAGCTGTAGCTGAAGATGAATGAATAAGTGTAGGACAGTGACAGGCATTCTGCGATGTTGCTTTGGCCCTCTGTTGTCAGGGAAACTATGCACCTTACTGTCTTCGTTAGAGTTGTCAGGGAATAGATTAAATAGGACCTCGGAGGTTACACTGGTTGAAATGTTCATTTTTGTTTTCATAATTTCCTTTTTATCTATTTAAAAACACACTATTGTTGTATTTATATTTTAGGACATCAGTAAATGTAGCTGAGGATGAGTGATAATTCTTGTGACAGTAAATTAAGTAATAAAGTCCTAAATCAAGTTTTAACTATTTTTTTCCAGATTGCTTGCTTCCTTTCCATCTTCTTCTTAAGTATCTGTGTTTATTCTACGGTGTTCAGGATTCGTGTATTTAACTACTACTACTTGGCTTCACATCATCAGACTGACGCGTACAGCCTTCTTTTCAGTGGCATGTAAGTAGAACTGAGCTTGGGGAAAGAAGTATCTCCATTTTATATGCTAACTATAGATCTCTTACTTCTTGTTCATGGATGTTGCATGAACATATATTTCTGTTAGCTAACTGTTCTATTATATATTAGGATATAAATATATATATGGTAGATATTTGCTGATTACCAGCTAAATTCTGCTTTTAAGTTTATGGTAAATTAAGAATGAAATGTTAGGAATGAAAAAGACAGTGAGCCTAAATTTACCAATTTGTGACTTTGTATATGAACAGCTGAGAATTTAGAGGCTAAGTCAGATTTAAAGAGTATGCTGAAAGTCAGAGGCCCGCCTAAGACTGAAGGTTTGAAGGACATTATGAAAACCTTTTTTTTTTTTCCTAGAAAATGTACAGGGCTGGCTTTAGCTACACTATCCAGGCTATTTATTATTATTCGGGTATATTAGGTATTTATAATATATATAATGAGCTATACTTAGGGAAGTTCAAAGTAATATCTGGTGTCAAAAATTTGTCTTATAAAATATCAAAACCAACACTGTAACACTGTTTGGCTGTTACAAAACCTGACACAAACAACTTAGCGGAAGAAATATTTATTATGTCTAATGGTTTCAGAGACTTTAGCATTATTTGATATTGTTATGGGGAAGAAGTGAGGCTACACATGGCAAGACGACTATATTGGAGCAGAGTTATCTACTTCGTGGTACCTAGGACGCACAGACAGACTGACAGGGCCCCAAACATGCTATCCTTTGTCCATACCTCCTAGAGGCGCCTTGCTTCTTCTAGCTTCACCCTACCTCCTAAAATAGAGCAAGCCACTGAAGATGAACTCTTCAACATAGAAACCTATGGAGGTTGTGTCATATGTGAGGTATAGTTAAACTATAACAAGAGTTTAGAAAGTTACAGATAGACCATCTAACCCTCCTCAAGCTTCTCTTCATAGTGACGTTGGCTGTGGTTGCTATGCAATATTAAACCTAGGAACTGTATTAGCACTATATTAGCAGCACTGTAGGCTTTAATTAGTTCCTAGATTTTCATTCGTTTGATGTGCAGACTGCTACAGCTGTCACCACCACATACAGAGCTTCCTCTTGTCACTATCTGCTCCTTATATTTAAACCTTTTCGTTCTTCCAGCCCCTAGTTCTCCAACCCTAGCTATGTAAGAGCCTCATTTTATACTTGATCTTAGGCGGAATGCTGAAATCAGGCACCCTGAGGCTATAGTTAGTTATATAAGCACTCATGTTCTTAAGGGAAATGTGATGAATAGGATTTCAGAATGTATCCCCAATAAGGACAGTTCACATGGAGAATTCAAACTATAGTTTGACTTGAATGAATATAATTGAAATATGTATATATTTATATATATACATATATGTATAGTATGAAAATAGATGAAAATTATAGTTACAATGATCTAAAATATTTTAATACATTTCACTATAGTGTAAATTGTATTTTGTTGTATTTAAAATATATGTGTTGGTGCTTTTAAATGTTTATTGTAGGCTGTTTTGCCGTTTGACTCCTCCTTTATGTCTTAACTTCTTGGGACTGACCCATATGGATTCGTCCATCTCCCACCAGAATACCCAGCCAACTGCGTATACATCTGTAAGTGTGGTTCTTTAGGTTCCTTCCCTACATACGATGTTGTTATGAGTCATCTTCTATTGTCAGTAGAAAATCTGTGTAGCACATTGAACTCCTTTTTATCACGAGAGCCTTCTCTTAAAGGTTATATATATAATTACTAATGATAGGGTTAAAGTAATCTTCTTCTCGGAATTTTAAAAAAAATTGTTTATTTAGATTCCTTAGATGAGCAGCATCAAAACCCTGCTTCATAGAGCATTAGCATTTATATGTATAATCTAAATGTGTATGGTTTTGTAGTAGTTATAAAATACTAGATTTCTTTAGAAGAAAGCCTAAACAGGAAGAAAGTTTAAGAAATTCCTACCCCTTAGTACTTTGTTTCTAAATTTTGAAAAGTCAAGTATGTTGATGTACATTCCTGTGGGTGAATTTTCTAATGATGGGAAAGAAGGAATGAAAATATGGAACTCTGCTGACTTAACTCTTCTCTTACTCTTCAGATCATGGGTTCCATGAAAGTTTTATCCTTTATTGCAGATGGATTCTATATATATTATCCTATGTTGGTAGTAATTCTCTGCATAGCCACATATTTTAGGTAAGAATTTAACATTACCTTTTTCTCATACTCTTAGTTGGCTATAGATATCCCTTTCCCTTAAAACTCTATTGAGTATTTACAGGTTTGGTTTTAGTTATTTGTGTTTTAGGAGGTTTGGGGAGCTAGGGCAGTTTGAGGGGTCTTTTTGAGTAGTTGAGTCAGGTTCTCCATCTGGAGACAGCTCAAAGAATAGAGAAGTGGGATTACTCTGTCGTGGTTATATAGGCTATAGAGTGGTAAGCCTAACTGTAGGATGGTAACTCCAAAGTCTTGGACTGCAACACTGCAAGCATGTCTAGCTTCTTTCCAATAACATGTTAGTCTTTGGTCTTATTCCATATTGTTGCTGGGTTTTTAAATCCTACAGATGCTAGCCAACATAAGGGGTCAGGTGAGGAACACATATAATCAAGATGTGTATATAAAGTTGGAAGAAAAATACTTCTCTGTGCTTAGAAGGTATGCAGCCTGCTGCTTTTTTGGGCTTAGAGAAGATTATAGAAACTTGACAGAGGTACAGTTCAAAGGGTTAACGCTTTTAACAATAATGAACTCATTCTAGCCATTGTTACCTATGTAAGACTTATTATATATACAAAATCAAGCCAGCGATACTTCCTGCAGAGACGGGACGTGATATCCAGGCTCCATCCCTTCCTGAGTTGATAGGTGCTCTGGAAGGGAGGCATTTTTCTTTTTCTTTGAGGCAAAGGAAGGTTTCCTGAGTTCCAGTGGCTGTGCAAGTGTGGGAATCTCTCACTGGACTTAGTGGATTTTTTTTTTTTTTAGAAGAAGATGTAAGGTTAAGGGAGGAGGTGTTAGGAAGTGTGGGGACAGTTGGAGGGGAAAGTTGGGATTATGTGTAATCATATTCATTGTATGCATGTTTGACATTCTAAGGACACGCTTGCCTTAGCGCCCTGTCTCTCCTTCTCATCCCTCACTCTCGTACCCCTTCAGCCTTTGCTGACTGCTTCAAGTGTCCCAAGACGTGCCCAAAATATCACTTTTATAAAAATATGTCTTTAATATAAATTAATTTGCTTTTCTAATAAAAGTAAGTTTTATTAACTCTTGTTTAAGTCTCATATTATTTGTACAAAAATCTAAATAGCATAGTAATATTAGAATGTTTATTTATATAAATTCTCCACTAAGTTAAATTTCTTTGATAAATAAAATAGCTAAAAGATTATAATTTAAGACTATTAGATGAGCTTGGTGGCACATGTCTATAATTTCAGGGTTTTGTAGGCTAAGACAGGATCCCAAGCTCACAGTCAGCATCAGCTATATAGCAATAACATGCTTCAAGAGAAAACCATACATAAAGTATAATAAGATAAAAATATTAATATGAATTGATGCTAAAACTATTGTTTTGAGGTTTTCCTCTAAGGTGGAAAAAGCAATAGCAGATTTTATAATTTAATGCTGTGCTGATTATGTGTTTACTCATTTAATAATTTAATGAACTTGGCTGTTGAACCATAATGGAACATCCTGAACCTTTATGAGTACATCTTTTCATGTTAGTTTTCATATTGGCAATATGAAGATTTTGAGGTGAAATGGCTCTGTGGCTCAAAATAATATAAATTAGAATAATGCTATGTCAAATATAAGAAACTAAATATAAGAAATCAGAAAAATGATTATAGGAGAACAACCATTGTAGGGCTGGAGATGTAACTCAATAGTGTGTTATTGTCTAGAATAACTAGTACTCTGGGTTTTATGTGGTCTAGGGGTCTGCTCTGCCACAGGGTGTAGCTGCTCAGGGAGGCGGGACATAGGAATTGACTGTGGTTACACCATGCTGTCTCAGAGCAGTGTTGGACTGTAGGGAATTCCCCCCTCCCACACACACACACACACACACTGCTCTGCGGGTAGGAAAGCATAATCTGAGGCACAGGACACCTGGAGCTGGTTTGGGGGTCCCTGAGCCTGCAGCGAGGCCGGGGCCGTGGGGGTTCCCAGGCTCCAGAACACACCCAGGCTGAAAGCTGTGGAAGACCTGAGAACAGAGTTGGTGCCTGTGGGCTGAATGTAGCCCAGGCCGGAGGGGAAAAGCGGGGAGCTCCAGCTGCTCCTACAGGGGAGAGTCCTTGGCTTGGTGGTGGGCTTGGGTTGGGCTTGTTGATGGAGGTCGTGGCTGGGAATGCAGAGGCCTTCTACAGCAACTCTGTATGAGAGCTGTGTATGTGTATGAGTACACTGTTGCTCTCTTCATGCACACCAGAAGAGGGCATCAGATCTCCTTACAGATGGTTGTGAGCCACCATGTGGTTGCTGGGAGTTGAACTCAGGACCTCTGGAAGAGCAGTCAGTGATCTTAACTACTGAGCCATCTCTCCAGCCCCGAAAAACTTCAATTCTTGAGTGAAAAAAACCCCATAACATTAAATTTTACATAATTAAGATTTTTGTTAGCTAAGCAGGTTGATGCAAGCTTGAGTCACAGAACTCTGGAGGCTGAGGGAGGAGGGTCACTGAGTGTGAGGCCAGCCTATTCTAATACAGTGAATTCTAGGACAGCTTGAACTTCAGAGTAACACCATGTCTCAGAAAACAAAAGATTGTGTAAGCAAGAAATTTCTACATGTACTGATGCTGATTGTATTAATCTATTTATTTTTATTCATTTATTGTTTTTAAGATGGAGTTCCACTGTGTATGTAGCTTTGGCTAGATATGAGTTCTTGAACTCACAGAGATCTGCCTGCCTTTGCTCCTAGAGTGCTGGGAATAAAGGCTCCTGTCACCACTGCTCAGGGAATTGCTGATTTTATATGCATACTTCAGTATGAAAACTACTCTGAACATTTAAAAAGAACACGTTGATTTTGTTACAGCCATCCTGTAGCAATATAGGAAGCCTTACTCTACTGAGTGAAAAATGCAACATGACATTTGATTTGTTTGGTTTTCAGCCAGAGTTTCACTGTAACCTTAGCTGGCCTCAAACTCATGACAGTCCTGCCTCAGGCTCCCAGATACTGGGATTATAGGCATGAAGCTTCATATGCATCTGGACACAAGCATTGTAAAAAGAAAGAGAAATAAGGACCTTGTGAAGAGTGGCTAGCTGCATTGCTGTGCAGTCTGCCATGATAACTAATACCGAGTCGTGGTTTCTCTGGGGTTGAGAATGCTAAAGAACAATTTATCAAAATATTTACGAAATGAAATAATACTTATTGTTTTGAAATCTGCTTTTATTAGTTTGGGCACCCGTTGTTTGAATCTGCTTGGTTTCCAGCAGTTCATGGGAGATAATGATATGACATCAGATCTAGTTGATGAAGGAAAAGAATTAATCAGACGAGGTAAGATTTGTTGTCATAAAATAAATGAAAGGGCAATTTTAAGTGCTAAGACTTAAATACAAAATGAATGATTGCAAAATTTGCATATGATTTTATTCTACCTTAGGTGGTTTAACCTAAAAAAACTATATGTCCTGTTTTCTTCACAAAAATATTTGAAAATATAATGTAAGGTTTATTATGAAGAAATTGTGCAGCATAAATTACTAGTGAATCTACAACTAGACAGTAAGTATTTGATTTATGGTTTTAGACTTTGTGTTAATCAGCTTTCTGACTATGTGACAAAATAACTGGGATAGCTTGAAAGGAGGAAAGATACCTTGTTTTACTTCACTGTTTTAGTGATTTCAATCTGTGGTTACCTGCCTTTTGACCAGCAGAATGTGTCATGGCAGAGAGCGAGTATCACATAGAATCAATGAGAAACACAGGAAGAGGCTGTGGTCCCGGTTGTATCTTCAGTCTACTCCAGTGATTTAACTTTCTTCTCCTTGGCCCTGCCTTCCCAAGGCTCCAGCAGCTACCAGCCTGCACAACCTATTGGCCAGAACTTTAAGGAAAAGCCAAGATCCAAGCCATAGTAGATTGGTTTTTTCTTTGTTTTGAAATGTATTTGCCAAGTTCTATGCAACTATAAAGCTCATTAATTTAAAGAGTTATTAGTTTGTTGCTATGTGCAAAATCATTCAAACTGTTTTTCTCTTTCTTGGCATATACTGATCATTGAGAATGAGAGTACTATTAAAATACATAGAGCTTTCCTAAAGAACATGTATTGTGTTTTCTTCACGTCCTCGTAGGATGAGTGAAGGAAAGCCTTGATTTGGGGATGTTTTTTTTTTGTCTCCAGAATCCAGCCTTAATATGCTCTCTGAAGAAGTAGTGTCTATTTGATGTGATAATTCTGTATTTGTCATAGAAACCCCTTCCCAATATTGATAAGAATGGTAAGCTGGAAGATCCTGAGAGAATGGCTATCACAGTCACCACTCTATAGAGTCTATCTCAAGAGAAGCACTGCACGTGCAATCCAAAGAGCTTATAGTAGAGGAGAATCATACAGCAAGTATAAACTTAGAAAAGTCCAAAGGAGAATAGAAGCTACAGAAAAGCAAATCTCAGATTACCAAAAGGAAGAACATTTTTTTCACTAAAGGTGACAGACTCCAAAGCTATCTGTAGCCAAACAGGAGTTTGTAGTAGGTTGTAGATACTGTAGTCTGCTCTTGCTTTGATTACTTTATTTCTAATGAAACCATGTTATACTGAATTTGTGGCCTTTTTATTGTCTTTAGAGAAAAGAAAAAGGCAAAGGCAAGAGGAAGGTGAAAATAGAAGAAGAGTAAGTATAATAGTTTATTCAATTGCTGTTAACCATGAGATATCTCAGAAACACCATAAGAACCTCACTTGGGGTAAATGGTTACAGATGAGAAACAATAGGTAAAGGGCATAGGATTTTCTTTTCCCTTTAATGTGTATGAACGTTTTACCTGAGTGTATGTTTTTGTACCATGTTCATCACTGGTGCCCAGAGTGCGCAGAAGTGCATTTGGGTCTCTTAGAACTGAATTCCAGATGGCATGCAACTCTAGTCACTTAGAAGAGCAGCAAGTATTCTTAACCACTAAGCCCTGGGTGTATTTTTAAAGAAAGGAACATTTTAAGACTTTTACATACACATATGCTAGGTATCCTGTCATAATGGGTTCAATATGCATCAATAGGTTGACTAAACTGTATATACAGTGACCAAGCAATTTTGTGCAGCCTTATTGATAATGTAGTTTATGTTGCTTTAAAATCATTATGCTTTTTCTAATATGACATTTGTATTTTCATCTTTAATTTATCTTTAGTCCTCCATTTTCTGAGGCAAATCTTTGAGAGAGTAGGAAAAAATGAGAGAAAAGGAAATCTATTCACAATTTCTATAACTTTTTAACGTTGATGTGCTGATGTATGTAACTGTAATTCTGGGGGGGGGTCGGTGTGGAGTTCTTCTTTCCTTTTGCTCCCAAATAATAGCAGAGTGTTTCTATGCCCACTCTTTTTAAAAAGCATTTATTTATTTTGAGACAGTCTCTCATTAGAAGGACCTGCAACTTGCTACATAGACCAGTATGGCCTAGCACTTACTTGAGATCTACTTGCCTCTGTGCTGGGTTTAGCTCCCAAATGAGTGACACAGAGACCTGGTCTCTGCAAGCACTAAGCTGGGCAGGTTCTGAGCTATTCCGATTCAGTTAGGCTACCTGCTTCCCAGCCATGTGGTCCTTAACCTGCATCTTCCCTTGGTTTGCTTAGGTCCATGTGTGTCTTCAGGGCTGCTCTCACATTGTGACCTCATGGCAAATCCTGGTTCATCCACATGGTCTCCCTACCTTTCTTCTCTTCCTCTCTCTCCTCTCCTTCTTCTGGCCCTCTTCTCCCTGGGACCCCCAGACTGGGATCAGAAGTCCTGCCCTATTCTCTTCTCTTGCAACTAATTGGCTGTTCAGCTCTTTCTTAACCAATCATTGGTGATGGGAAGCAATTTTTGCATACCATTTAGACCAGCGATGCTTGACCGTGCCAATGTCTGGACTATAACCAGATGTCTGGGCATAGAGATCAGCATCTGAATACACAGTGCTTAAAACCATCCCCCAAGAGATGTATTTAGCCTGAAAAGTACATAAGAGGGGATGTCATACTTGTCAGTGTATTTTACCATATGCCATGTAAACAGGAGACTTGTATATTTAGGATGGTAACACATGCCTTTAATCCCAGCACAGAGACAAATAGATCTCAGTGAGTGCTAGGCCATTCTGGACTACGTAACAAGTTCTAGGCCCATTATTGAGACTCTTGTCTCAAAATAAACCTTTTTTTTTTTTTTGGTTTTTCAAGACCAGGCTGGCTTCAAACTCAGAAATCCGCCTGTCTCTGCCTCCCATGTGCTGGGATTAAAGGCTGTGCCACCACTGCCCGACCAAACATTTTCAAAAGATAGATTTGTTCTTTATTTCACAACTAGAACCAAAAGTAAACATTACTAGAAATATATTTCACCTTCTATTAGTTCTTCTCAACCTGTGGGGGTTGAACAGTTCTTTCACAGGGGTTAGATATTAGATATCCTGCATATCAGATATTTGTATTATGATTCATAACAGTAGTAAAATTACAGTTTTGAAGTAGCAATGAAAATAATTTTATGGTTGGGGATTACCATAACACAAGGAACTGTATTACAGAGTCTCAGCATTAGGAAGGTTGAGAGCCATTGTATTAGAACTTCTAACTTCTACAGTATACCAGAGTTGTAATAGACTTGACTACATAAACATAAAAAATGTATTCAAAATTTCCAAAGTGTCTGGCTTGAACGAATGGCTTGTATAGAACACTGAATAGGTGCTCTCAGATGACCATTTCAGTTAGCTAGGTGTAAGGTATAGAATGTTAGTTAATGAGATCACACTGTCTTCCATGGTAACTCGTAAGTCTGTGTGAGTCAGTCTTGCATACAGCCTTAATTGTTACCAAAAATGACTTATCAGATCTCCAGTATTTGCAGCTTGCTCAAGTAAAAGAAGGTTTTTAACATAACTTTTATATGGTCAGGGTAAGCTTGCTATTATTATTTTTGAAGTTTTAGTTAGAATAATATGTTAATACAATCATAGCCAGCAAAATGTTTTTGTTAAAAATTAAAGGTGATAAAAATTGATTTTAAAGACTGTTAAAATTATACTGACTTCTAATGAATTTCTGATGAAAAATGGTTATATTACTTTGAATCTAGACCTTTGACAGTATAATATATGCTATATTTCGATTGGGTTTTTGCTCTAGGAGTGGAAAGAACGTTATGGACACAACAGAGAGGATTCCACTCGGAATAGAAACGTTCATCCTGACCCCAAAGAGTCAAATTTCTCAGACACTACTACCAATTGGTGTAAGTAGCTTATTTCCTAGTTTACTTAGGGATTATTGTCTATTGTTTGCTCTGAATGGAAACTGAAACCATACCATCTGGCATCATAGACCCCTCTACACTGACTTCCCTTATCATCAACTAGTGTGTGCCAGGAAGTGGACGTGTATATCAGGTACATAGTTGTGTTATTTCCAAGGTGTGTTCTAGGCAAGTAATCATTTCTACTATTTACCTTGATGTTTTTCATCCTTTTCTACTAGTTGATGTAGGTTATTCATTTATTTTTATAAGAATTGGTTAACTCATACTGAAGTGCTTTTCTATGTATATAGTGAGAGAAAAATAAATTTCTTGTCCCCAGGATGTTCATAATTTGGAGAAGTACTAAAGTTAGATACAAGTCCTCCAACAGTGGTGTGAGTTACGAAACCTGTGTAGCACTGACCCTGCACAGACATGAAGAGGAAACAAGCCCATTGACCTGGGGAAGACGTCAGGAACCCTGTCTTGGTCTTCTCACAGAACGTGACGCTGTGTAGCAGGCAGTTTTGTCTTCGGGGAAGATGAGATGTTGCTAAGGGAGCCGCACTACTGAGGCTTCTGTGAATAGGGTTCTGTCTGAGATTGAAGATGAAGCAGGAAATCTGAGCATTCTTCCCTAGCTACTCATTTGTACAGTAACAGTGTGCTGTTAGAGGAAGAATAGAAGCACAGGTACTCCTCTAGTGGTCTGAAAACAGAAGACAAGTACCAGAAACATTCCTTTGTATTGAGGCCCATCTAAACACAAGGAGAAACTGAAATCTCTAGAGACTGAAGGGAGCTAAGGTAGAGTCTAAATTCACAGTACGTATGTTATATTAATTCAGGTCTCCAACATTGATGCCCCTATAGATAGAGGTATGCCCCATTCTCAGCATAACTGTTATTTAGCTTAAGTTCAGTATTCTTTTAAATGAAATGTCTAGTCTTTAGCAAGAAGTTCTGAGGTATATAAGGAAATAAAGTATAAGCCATCTTTAAAATATGAAATAGGAATACGTCAAGAGTAGCCGGGCAGTGGTGGCACATGCCTTTAATCCCAGCACTTGGGAGGCAGAGGCAGGCGGATTTCTGAGTTTGAGGCCAGCCTGTTCTACAGAGTGAGTTCCAGGATAGCCAGGGCTACACCAAGAAACCGTATCTCGAAAAACAAAAAAAACAAAACAAAACAAAACAACAACAACAACAAAAGAAATAGTAAACATCCTAAGCCTAAAAGTGCCTCAAGTATTGGAATTATCAGGCAGATCATTGGTGGAAATAACTCATTAATATGTTTAAAGATGTGGTGAGAAGGTTGGATAATGTGCATAAAGAGATGTAGGGAATTTCACCAGGCAGCTGGAAGTTTAAGGAGCTAAATGGAAATGTTAGAAATGTTTTAATAGCGGACTCCAGTGATGTTGCAGACTTCTCATGTAAGGTTTTACCAGAGAGTGTACGCCTGTGCTGAAGGAAATTACCTTGGGGGATAGAAAAAGCGTTCTCTCTTAGGAGTGTATTTTTATACTAAATATTTCTGTAATGAAAATTGAGCTGAGTATTCAAAAATGAATTATAGTTACCTAGATAAAAGGAGTTTTATTTAGAAAATGACTAAGGTGTAGTGATGTGAGAGAATGTTTGCGAATGTATGCTTTCTCAAGACTAGAGTTTAAACAACATGAGTAACCTAATAAGAGGAGCTCCAGAGACAGCTTAGAAACAGATACCATCATGCTCAAAAGTATGGATTTTATATGGTAGATAAGTTTATATATATATGTGTGTGTTTGTGTGTATATATGTGTGTGTGTGTGTGTGTGTATACATATATATAATTGGATATTTTATTTACATTTCAGATGGTAGGTAAGATTTTAGCTTGAGATGAACATGATCTTTATTTAAATTTTTACTTTTTATTATTTTTGAATATTCATACATATATTTTGATCATATTCTTACCACTTTCCCATCTTCTTCCAGATCATTCCCCTCTACTCACCCAACCTCATGTTTTTGATTTGTGTCTTAAAGCAAACAACAGTGCAAAAAGAAAACAAATAAAAACATAAAACCAATGAATGAAACAAACAGCATAAAGTATGTTTTGTATTAGTTAACAATTCGTAAGCATGTGGCCTGCCCTGGAGTGCAGTATCACTCCATTTGAAGAAAACTGATTTTTCTCTCTTTCAGCAGCTATCAATTACAAATAGCATCTTGCTTAGGGATGAGACTTTGTGCCTGCCTTACCTTCTCCATACTGGGATTTTGTGACTTTGAACATGTACACATTCTGTCACAGTTGTGTGAGTTAATGTATGCACGATAGGACTGCTATTGTGTTTGAAAAATGTTTCCTTGAGAGAAGTTGAATGATTCTGGCTCTCACAATCAGTTTGTCCCCTTTTCTTTGAGGAGAGGGGAATGATATAAAGACATTCTGTTTAGGGATGAGTGCTTCAGAGTCTTTCACTCTCTACAGTTGTCCAGTTTTGGATCTCTATGTTAACTACTTACCATACTAAGTAATGAATTTAGCTTCTCTAATGAGGTTTAAGCAATGAGGTTTAATCTAGGGGTTTAGCAATATGTCCACAGGTGTTGGATTCTTAGGGGCAAGTCCAGTCGTTGTCAGAATATCCAGCAATCCAGCAAATGCAACAGCAAACCAGCAGTAGCAAAAGCAGGGGGAGTTGGGGCAGTGGCTGCCACAGGCCTTCTCAGGGCTCCTGCAAAGTCCCCAGAATTAAACTGTCTGCAGCTGGCACAAATCATGCCCCTCCATACATCCCTAGAATACAAGACGTTCATAGTTAACAGCTGTGGAAAATCTGAAACAACTCCATACCCCGCACATGGGATTAAAACAAAAACATATTCATATAACATAACTGGATTTTTAAAGAAACCAAGGCTCTAACTACAATGGTTGGTTACTCCTGTAACGTTTATGCCACTATTGCCCCAATGGGTGTTTTTACAGGCAGGTTGCTATTGTAACTTACAGGGTTCATAGAGAAGTGAGATTGATGGTTACTGTTCTCCTCTAGTAGCATGAGGAGTACCTTCCAACACTGATGTGAGGCAGTAGGGGTAAAGCGTCTAGCTGAGAACTAGCTCAGCGTCTCTATGTTCAGTCACATGAAGCATGATCTGCTCCTGCTATTTAGAAAAATGAATTTAATGACAGTATAAAATATGACTTTTAGAGAAACAAAGCTCAGAAACCATTTTAACATCTGTTTTTATAGTGAAGTCAAGGAGTGATGTGGGCTTAAAGTAAGACAGTGGAACTTGAATGAAGACAGAAGATTGTCTTTGAAGGATATTTAGGATAGAATAAATAGTAAGGGGCTTTAGCTAAAACTCAGAAACCGGGAAGAACCTATAAAGAGATTTAGGTACTTATCATAGAGTGAAAGTCTGTAGAATTGAAAGATCTGAAAGTATGAGAGGATTGTTAAATAAAGAACAAACACAAAGCTTTAGATAGTGAGTTAGATAAGATGACCAATTTCAGTATGTTAATTGTACCGATCCTTGAGCATGGGGCATCTTTCCATATGAGGTCTTCTACAGTTTGTTTCTTGAGGGACTTGAAGTTCTTGTAATACAGATCTTTTACTTGCTTGGTCAGAGTTACACCAAGATATTTTACATTATTCATGGCTATTGTGAAGGGTGTTGTTTCCCTAATTTCTTCTTGGCCCATTTACCATTTATATAAAGGAGGGCTACTGATTTGTTTGAGTTAATTTTATATCCAGCTACTTTGCTGAATGCATTTATCAGCTATAGGAGTTCTCTGGTAGAATTTTTGGGATTGCTTATCTATACTACCATATCATTTGCAAATAAATAGCAATACTTTGACTTCCTCCTTTCCAATTTGTATCCCCTTGATCTCCTTTAGTTGTCTTACTGCTCTAACTAGAACTTCAAGTAGTATATTGAAAAGATAGGGAGAGAGTTGGCAGCTTTGTCTTGTCCCTGATTTTAGTAGAAATGCTTTAAGTTTCTCTACATTTAGTTTGATATGGACTACTGGCTTGCTGTATATTGCTTTTATTATGTTTAGGTATGTGCCCTGTATCCCAGATTTCCCTAATACCTTTAACATGAACGAGTACTGAATTTTATCAAAGACATTTATAGCATCTAATGAGATACTTGTGATTTTTTTCCTTCAGTTTGTTTATACAGTGGATTACATTGATGGATTTCCATATATTGAACCTTCTATATGCTGGGTGGATAAAGTGTGAGAGAAACAAGGAACAAGCTTATGTGAATGGCTTAAGAACATTCATGATTAACTCCAAGTCACCAATAATGCATCAGTGTCATATTAAGGAGAAAAAAAAATATAAGCACTTGCCCTTGGTCTCATTTAACCAAGAATGATTCCACATTTGAATTCTGTACTTCATGCTTCCTGTCTTCCATCCTGTCTGTCTATGGTATGAGTCTGAATCTGTGCCTGCCTGAAGGCTGCCTTGTGGATTTGTCCCTATGACTGGATTTGTCTCTATGACTGTATGTGTCTGCAGGCGTGTGTGTTTGTGTGTGTGTGTGCACACGCGTGTGTGTCTTAACAACAGGTTTCACTCAGTCCTTCTTGAATAGCACAGAAAGAATCACCTCGGGGAAAGAATGGAATACTTTACAGAAATCTTTTTGGTTTTGTTTTTCAAGATGGGGGTTTCTCTGTATAGCCTTGGTTGTTCTGGAACTAGCTCTTTATCCAGGCTGACCTCAAACTCACAGAGATCTATCTGCCTCTGCCTTCTGAGTGCTGGTGTTAAAGGTGTGCTGCTGCTACCACTACCCAGATATTTTACATAAATCTTTAACAAGAGTTTTTCAAGGGATTCAGTCACTGGCTCCAGCAGATCCCAACAAAACCAGATAACAAATAATATCATTATTTTTCAACCAATATCCATGAGTAGATATCCATTTTAGAATATTTCTTTCAACCTTTGTATTTGCTGCTTTTAGCACTTACATTGTTCCAGATCAAGGACATGGACCAGTATATGACTTAAGATTACAGCTATGCAATAGCTTTCGTTGTAAAAATTGATTACATAAGAAACCCAAAGATAGTTATATTCCTTTCTTAAAGGCAGGTGGAATGGATGGGCTGAATACACATAGGATAGCTGTATTGTGACCTCAAGATGTGTTATTGACTGGCTGTGAGGTCCAGCAAAATTCCAGTTTCTTAAAATGTCATAGATATTGTCATAATATTGTATCACCACATTAGGAAAGAGGCCAAGGAGACCAAGAGATGATATAAACATCTTGCCTAAGTTTTTTCAAAAGAACTGTCTCATAGAGTCTTTTAATCTGTCTGTACTTGTGGGTGCAATACGTACAGAGGCCAGAAGAGGGCAGAAGCTCCCCTGAAGCTAGATTTACAGGCATTTGTAAGCCCTGTGACATGTGTGTTAGAAACTGAACTTTGGTTCAAGAGCATCAAATGTCCATGACAGTCGTCTTTCCAGTCCTATTTTTGTTTTTAAAGATACTTGATCTGCCTAAAGCGAGACTTTGATAATGTAAATTGTTTACAAGAAACCCCTGTTCATGTGGAGAAGGGATACTTACTGGGACGGTAATGACCTACATGTCAATCAAGCATTACCCATGGAGCCACTGAATACTTGCAGTGTGGATGCCTCCGTGTTAGCAGTATTTTTTGATAAATTAATTTCATCTGTGTCTTTATAATTTTTAATATGGTGGCTAGAAAAATTCAAAGTAATCATAGACTTTATTTATTTATTTATTTATTTGTCTATTTATTTAGCCAATATTGCCTTCATTTTTACTTTATGGGATAGATATTCTTCTCTTCAAGAGTTGAAGTTCAACTGCCATATACCTCAAATTTTTAGCCAAAATAAATAAATAAAGGTTCACTATGAAACCTAATGAAGTTTGATTTAATGATAAACAACTTCACTCTGGTGATAACCATAATTAAATATAGATTCTAGTTTTTATTTTTCTAAATCATCACACTACCTTCTTTGAGCTAGCTAAATGGCACAATAAATTGTCCTTATCTTGTATTACACTGTCATAATTTGAATCTGATTTTCTAAGAATAAACAACTTATGGTTATTGTCTTCACAATCAGCATTTACTGCAGTCTTGATTGTTTTCCTGTGATTCATAAATTCAAAGACAATAGAGAAATAGCCATGTTTTTCTTTTTTTGAACAGCATCCAAATATACCAGGGCTAATAACAGGACTGAAAGAGACCGAATAGAACTTCTCCAAGATGCAGAACCTCTGGATTTTAATGCAGAAACATTTACTGATGATTCTCTGGAACCTGAGTCAGGAAGGTAAGTGCTGGCTGTGTCATGTGGCTCTGGTGGGCTTCTGAGATTTTAATGACGAACTGATATAAGGAGCTTGTAAACAAAAGATAACCGAGCATGAGGAAACTATTGTGCTGAGGAGAAAGCTAGGTGGAAGTGTGCTTGTCTGGAATGCACGAGGCTCCGGTTGGATACCCTGCAGAGCAAGAGAAGAAAAAGATTTCTCTTTCTTTACCAATACAAAAATATGAAATAATATTTAATACCTTTTTTACTTTTTGAGACCAAGTTTCGTGTAGCCCAGGTTGCATTCTAGCAGCTGAGGGAAATTTTGATCTGGTGCCCTTGCATTGACCTTCTATTACAGGTGTACTGCCATAGGCAGTTTCTTTAGTACTGGAGCGTTAAGCTCAGAGAGCTGTGTATGCTAAGCACATCTACCAGCTAATCTGTGCCCTTAGCATTTGATAGCTTTTTATGCTGCTAATTAGTTTATATTTTTAAAAATTACGACATTCTGGTAGGTGTGGTGATACCTGCCTATAATCTCAGCATTTGAGCAGCTAAGTTAGGAGGCTGCTGCCCTAGGCCAATTAGCAAATCCATGCCAGAATCAGAAAGACAGTGAGTTCTGCTGAAGAAAAACAAAGATGCACCAAAAAATTGTATCATTCACTAGTTATAATTCAAACAGGTATTTTTATATAACAGTAGTAACATTAGAATTTAGAAAGAAGACAGAAAACAAGGAGTTATGACTATATTTACATCTCTATCTGACAATTCCGTTTATGACATTTATTATCTTTAGTCATATATGTATGTCTAATATGTTTTGATATCAGACACAATATAAACATTTTCTTTTATTGTAAAAATTCTGACTGGATTCATGTCCTCAAAGGCTCAGTAATTTTCCTGGAGTTGCACAGGTAAGTCAGACATTTTAACTCCAGTATTCTGACTACAAAGTTTTGCCATGAGAAGCAATAAAACAAAAAATGTTGAAACAGAACGGCCACATGACCCAACTCTGCCACTGTTTATATCTCCAAAAGACTCATAAGTGAGCATACCATCCAGATGCTAGCACATCTCGTACCTATTGTTCTTTATTCATAGTAGCAAAGACATGGAGCCAGCCAAAATGTCCACCAACAGATGAAAGGTTAAAATAAAACGTGATCTCTATATACAAAAGTATTTTATCCAACCATAAGGAGAAATGTAAACATGACTTTGCAAGAAAATATTTGTAACTAAAAGTCATGTTAAATGAAATAAACCAGTCTCAAAGGGTTGTAGAAGTAAGAAGGGGACTATGAGAGAGAGAACAGATCTTAGGTGGGTGGAAGAGAGGATCAGAAGGGAAGTCTATTTGTCTTGGAGGAAAAAGAACAGCAAGAAGGGAACAGGCTGCAGATACCAGTGGAAGGGAGTGAATATGAGTACAGTGTAATGGTATATGCATGCACGCACATATGTGTGCATGTATGTGTGTGTGTGCATGCACGTGCATGCCATAAGTAAGCCCATTACTTTGTGTGTTTCAAAGATAAAAACAGAAAAATAACCACACATACCAAAGATGTTTACTATCTTATTACCTATAAATAGCAAAATCCCTAGAATACTCTATATTTTAAAGTTAAGCATGGTTATTTATGCAGTCTGTGGAATGTTTCTTACAGTTGCTAGTTGATTTACAATTAAGTCCTTTTAGATAATAATTTTAGGAGATAGGGTTCTATTTTTAGCTAGTGAATAAATGTTATGGTCTTTGCAAATTGTGTAATCATTTTCCTTTAATGTTTTTCATGGTTTTTTTTTTTAATTTTGATATTTTAGATCATTTTTATATGTTTATGTTTTAGGTATCAACCTGGTGGACGATATCTCTCCATGTCTTCCAGCATAATATTTGAAGATATCTAAAGTCTGAAGTAATTCATAGATCAAGTAACCGAGGTCAACACATCAGCTCAGCCTTTATGAACATCCTTGTGTCCTGTATTTCCTCTGTTCTCTCTATAAACGGTGTGAGGATAACAAAGACAGCATTGAAAGTTGATCACATCTTAACAATATTAGGTTATGGTTTGTTGAATAGAGCATCATCTTTTCTTATAGGCTTTACTGGAGACCATCTGAAGCATCTGCCTTAGAAGTGTAGTTAAGTGGAAGGGTTCAACTCATGATAAACATAGAGCTAACTTGGTTTCATGCTAATTTTTTAGGAGACTTATTTTAAAGTTCAATGAAGCCATAAGTCATACTAAATTCTACAATTTTATAACTGTAATTTAAAATTTTACTATTTCTTTAAAAATGTTCAACCTACATTTTCCAAAGAACTAAAAGTGAACTGAGACCTCAAATAATGACCATATTCACTAAACTCATGTCTTAAAACAAGGCTAACGTATCGGACATAACTGAATGTAAACAGCTCTTCTTCAGATCTGCACACACTTCCATGGGATTGTGCATGTATAATTAAGATGATTCTTCAGTTGATAGTGTTAGTCTCTTTAGCATGTGTATTCTAATTGGGTGATGTGTTATTCTTTTCTGTCTTTGTAGTAACTGGATCTTTTTATGGTTTTCATATTATTGCTTTGTAAAAGATTTTCATTTCAGAGAAAAATATTCATCTTTAACATTTAGAATATTGACTTAATGCTTATCATTCCATCCAAGAAAACTCCTAAATATTAATGATGAGTAGATTCGTTTGTTTTATAGCCAAAGAGTTCCCCAGATTCTCTAATATTTACATTCTTTTAAAATTTATTTTATTTATATGAGTATACTGTAGCTGTTTCCAGACACACCAGAAGAGAACATCAGACCCCTTTATAGATGATTGTGAGCTACCATGTAGTTGCTGGGAATTGAACTCAGGACCTTTGGAAGAGCAGTCAGTGCTCTTAACCACTGAGCCATCTCTATAGTCCCAACTCTCTGATATTTAAAAGATGCCTGTTAATGTTCCTTGTAAAGAAAACATCTAGCTGTTTCAGCTATTCAATGGTAAAAAGAAAAATAATCCATTTATGAGTGTTGCTAACACTTAAATTATAGCTTAAAAAACAGAAAAATGTATTAGAATGGAAATGTGTAGTAATAACTTATTTGTCAGACATGCTTATTTTAAATTGGTTGTTTCAACCTTTGCATTTAAGCCAAAGTTGGGTATTATGTTTTAAAGAGCCAGAGTTTTATTACAAAGTGAACATGGCTTGGCACATATTAGCAGGGATTGTTCTATGGTCCTGAAGTATTTGTGTCTCTTACAGAATACATTTCACATGGGGTGACCAAACTTGAACTTATCCAGGACAGTTTCACACCTGTTTTCCTTGCAATTATTACTAGTGCTCAAGTGTTACTCTGTCATATGTTGAGGACATAGTTATGTGTAGGTACCGAAAGGAAGTATTCATCATCCTCATCTTTTTTTTAGTGGTTGCATTTTTCATGAACTTCCACACAGATCCCCCTTTAAATAATTATCAATAGATAGATTTACTCTGAATGGAAGGTTGCATAGACTGCTGGACCCTTGGACACATGCATATAACCTTTTACTGTGAAATGCAGTCAGAGTGCAGTTGACCAGAGCAGTGACAATGTAATGCTGTTTATGATTTCATGATTGGTTCCTGGATACCTTAGGCAGATCACGGAACCTTTCAGTGCCTCAGCTTCTTCATTTTCAGAATGAAGGACTTATTTACTACTTTCCCTACTGATCTACCTCACGAAACTGTTGTGAGGGAGTTAAATTGAGGATCATGTGCTGGGGTTTGGAATGACAAAGCAAGTTGTCTGCTGTTCTCCCCGCCCCCCTCTTTCCTATAACTTTGAAGAGACAGAGATCACAGAAAAGGGTCTTTGAAAAGCTTCAAAGTCCCCAAAGCAAAATGAACTAGTTTGTCTGAAGTTCCTTAAATAGTGACTCATCATTTGTTCTGTGGATTTACTTTGAAAGATTTTTCTTGAATATGGTTTTTGTTTTCTTCTTTTAATACTCAGATGCTATTGTCAGAGTAGAAAGATAAAAAGAGAATGAGTGTCCAATTTTGCTACTAACTTTCATAATGCACTAAGACAGATTGATAGAATGTGCAGAGGAATTCAGGTACTTCCCTTTAAGGTCTCACCAACAGAAGTGTGTGTATACATGCAGATGCTTCACAAATACTGCATCCCTTTGTAGTTTTTTGAGTTATTTCCACAGTTTGGTTTTGTTGTTTCAATGATCCAGAGTGTTCAAAATTGTAAGGAGTTTTTCTTACAGAGTTTTGTACACAACCATATAGAAAATTACTTTGCTGGGTAAACTTGAGTTTAGAAGGCAGTGATTTCAAGCTGAATGCCTTGACTTTATTTCTGAGGAATTAAGTTAAGATTTATTAAGCTGCTCTGAGTAAAGCATTGTTAGTATGTACAGTATTTTTCTTCAGACATGTATTAACATGCAGTCATAACAATATTACTACAGAATTCATATGCTTTATGGGCAAAGTGGTTTCCTTAAAGAATTATTTCTGATACTCTTTTTCTTACATGTTAACAAATATCATAGAATTATCTAAAATTCTGTTTTATTGTAGCCCAGCCTGGCCTAAAACTGTATAACTGAGGATCACCCTGAACCGCTGGTCTTCCTCTGCCTCCCACGTTCTACAGTCACAGAAATGTGCCACAGCACCCAGAGCAATGTTTTTTAAGTAATTGTTAGTTAAGAATATTTAACAAGCTAATAACTCAAAATAAGTGTTATAGAAAAAAATCTATAAATTTCAAGAATCAGCTATATGTATTGTTAATTTACTTTTTAAAACTATATAACCCTTTTATTAATAGCACACTTTTGTAAAAGAATTTTAAGAAGAATTAAGATATAAATATAATTATAAATATTTGCTATCAGACCACATACATCCAAGAGTTTTAGAATAGTTTCATCCCATAAAAGGATCTCATTTCACAAAAGTGTTAAATCAAAGCATGAAAAGTTCCCATCATAAAAACAGATCAGATTCAGCAGTCTACATTGTCCAAAAAGGAAGGTTGTTTGTTGGTATGTATCTGGCCTTTACCATTTAAATTGTCCAATCTAACACATAAGCATAGAGTATGTTCAGATTGAGTGTGGGTAGGAAAGTCACTGTGTGTTAAGGAATGTTTTCAATAATATGTTGACTACCATATTACCGGGAAAATAAAACCTATAACAACAGTTCAGACTGTAAGGTAAAATTTATGCTTAAAATTTGAATGGACTGTGCCTGAAAAACTCCAAGGATGATAGTACATTTGTACTAAGAGACAAAACATGTCCCCGAGGAGTTAGGCACACTTGCATTTCAAGTGCAATGGACTCTACAATATTTAACTTTAAAAGCTAAGAGGTAAATGCACTTAGGGTTTGCCATTGTGCTTCCCTCCTTCCCACCTCCCTTCTCCCACCTCTCTCCCTCCTGTCTCCCTCTCCCACCTCCCTTCACCACATGACTTTCATGTACAGACAGACTTTTCTCTTTTGTTTATGCACACTGTTGTTAATGAGCAGTACACTCGAAAGGAACTACTTGACTTCAAATCCCACTCTGTGAAATAGCAGTATTGTACCTGAAGTAGTAAAACACAGTTTGCTAGACTGGTGAACAATGTCTGAATGGAAGCATAGTGCATACTAGCTCAGTGCATTTTCTTTGATGTTATTAACGAGGACATTGAAGTAAAAAGTAATTTTTTTGACTGTAAAATTTTGTATAAAATGATTTAAAAATACCAAACATTAAGAACTGTGAGATATTTCACCATAAAAAGGAATTCATAAAAATGCATGTTTAAAAGTGGAATAGATTAGGATTACAAGAAGCGAAATTTGCTTTCTTTTTGGGGTACTTCCAAATCGGTGGCTTTTGTGGCTGGAGACTTGGAAGGCTAGGCTGGGTTAGCACTGGGTAAGCTCCTCCTCCCAGGGCAGGCACTGCCCGCTCTACTGCCAAGGGATCATGTGCACCTGCAGTTCCCTCCATATTAGCCACTGTAACAGTAATAAAACTCCATTTTCAAATGATTTATGTGCTGAGATCAGGTGAGGTCTTGCTATAATTTAAAATGTTCTTAATAAAGTAAGACTGCATAATTCTGTTAAGATGTTTTTGCTTCCTAGAAAACCTTTCTAGAAATATATTGATTTTTTTATGAATATATTGATTACTTGTAAAAGAATTTTACTGTGTTTGCTGCAAAAGAATATTGGGAGTGGCTGACTATGGCAGACATGTAAGGCAAATTCACAGCCTATTAACGTGCATGGCATTTGCAGTTGGTATTACGACATAACTCTCTGTCTTTATGGAAAGAATACTGGCTAACATCTTCCCTGTTAGGCATGCCAAGCTGTTGGGGAGAGGTTGTGTTATTTATTTATTTGTGTAAACAATCCAATGGATTTGTTTTTGTCTATATTTTGCGAACAACTTGAAGGATTTTTTTTTTCATTTTAGAAGATAATATGTATACTCATCTTTTAAATTACTATAGCATAATATATAAATTATAACATTGAAAAGTACAAAAAGGTCTAATTATCGATGTTATTTTCCTGGTATTTAATTTTTATAAATGGTTTTGTAAGTAAATAATTGTAGTATTGCTTTTAAGTAGTTTAAAGTCATCCTTAAATAAGTTCTGACTCAACATACTGCCTTAGTACAATATTCTAAAGTGAAGTACTCTGATGTGAATTTGAAACCTGCCTGCATTTTCTAAGTTTCTTTATATGTCTATGTATATACACCAGTACCCAAGAAAAGCATACCAGGAGCCTGATTTCCACATTGCATTGATAAAGAGCTTGGTCTTTTTCCTTCATATAATTCAGTTGCCTAGATGAAATAGAACATAAATCTCTTCAAATATCTGTCCAATTACAATTTTCAAAATGGTAACTTTTTCATTTGGGGTGCATGATGCCAAGTTTATCTTTAATCAGCCTTTATCACTGGATGTATAACAATGGATATTTTCCTACCTGGTCAGTAGGTTGTAGATTTAACTGGTTTTGTTTTGGTTTTTATTTTTCCCAGTAGATTCTCACTACATTTTCAAATCCATATTTGGAAAAAACCTGCAAAGTGCTATCAGTAAGTTAGTTAGCATCTTTGGCCTTATCTATGCATAATGTTTCTTAGTTTAATTCTGACAAACTCACTGACAGGCAATTCTTTGTAGTGTTGTAACTTACTGTGATGTAATGAATTTTTTTTAAATGTTTATATGATTCATTATTAAAATATAGGATATTGTGTAGCTTTGCATGAAATAAAAGACATCTCTATGAGTGTAGTTTTGTTGATTGTTTATGTATCTTACTTCATTGAGGTTAAGCTGTTTTGAGTAGATCTAGGCAGTGTTTGTTCCTTACAATTCATTGTCAATTGTTATTAAACTTTTAAAGATGAGTAAGTAGGCACACTCAAGAATAAATAGGTATCCTCTAGTACTCTCTGCAGAAGGAAGCAGAAACTTGATGTATGTTAATTACAGTGAGAACAGAACTCAATAGAAAGTTAACAAAGCCAAAGTTGGCTGTTTAAAAAAAAATCAATAAAAGTGATACAACTTTGGCCAGCCTAACCAGGAA